AGAAAATTAGAGGATAGTTCATAAGAAAAAATAACATTATATTTCCATTCAAAAGTGGTACTTATTCTACAGTACGTTGCCTCAATATGTATAGCCATGTCCACAAAAATGTAAGATATGTCCGGGCCCCACAGTGACGAGATGCTAACTCCCTTGCCTGGTATGCAGGAGGGCGTGGGTTCAATCCCAACCCTGATGCTTGTATATTTGGAGTTTGTATGTTCTTCCCCGTGGTCACGTTGCTTATTATATCAAGGTCCCCCGGTTTTTCCCTCCATATTTAAAACATGCGTTTAGAGTATTTGGCTACTATAAATTTCCACATAAGCTAGTTCATTGAGTGATCATTTATGCCCAGGTCGCATCTGAAAAAGAGCTATATAGCTCAGTTGGTCTAACCTAGTAAAATAAAAATAGCATTGTTTTTTTCACAGTCGTCAAATAAAATGCAGGCCTTGGATGTAATTTTATTTGTTCAAAATATCACATCTCACAAAGTTTTCTAGGGACTTAAAAACATTGTAAACATACATAATTCTAAATGCGTATGCATAACTGTAGCGCATCAGAAATTTCTGCAAAACAGCAAACAGTGTAAGCGCTGTACACCAATTAACAGAAATAACTATTCAGGAAGAAATTACGATGGTATTTATTAAAATGTTTTCGATTGCAGACCTTACTTTCTATGAAAAGGTCCTTTATATTTACTTAAATCTTGGAAATTAAAACAAGGCCTTCAGTTGTTAAGCACTTATTTTTCTAAATGTCTGCCAAATTGATATCTAAATAAAAATATAAACCTCTAATTAGGGTGTGACTTTCTAACAACAACAAAACAAATCCAACATGCCAAATAAACTACCGACCAGCATCCGTTAATTTATCATCTTGCTGTATATAACGTTCGGTGCCTTTTAAGTCACCACCTCTGCATGCACTGGAACTCCGCACTGAATGTACCCCAGTGTATGTTCTAAAGACCTGGGCTGCATTTTCTGAAATTCTGACGGTTACTCGCCAACTTGAGGGCATGCACGGAAACAACAGCATAGGTAGGGACCCACCACTTTGCCAAATCAGTTTGTTTGCCCAGTCTAACAGCTGACCACACGTCTGGGCACAGAGTCTGTGGGTGACCCACTGTGGTATACGAAGTGCTGAGGTGCAATGACATTGTAAGCCAAAATTGAGCTTAAGTGGAAAATATCGTACAATATTACAGGAAGGAATAAGGAACTGCTGAGTTTCCATTAGATCTTTGCATAACCTTGTAGAAAAACATTACCAGGTTTTTTTTCCCTAATTTTCTCACGCCAAAAACTTTAGTGATAGTTTTGATGTTATCTGTTATGCGCTTTTCCAAACAACCGATTATCCAAACCAAGAGGGCATATCTCCTAACAGGCTTACATAAATTAAGGGTCAAACGTGCAGTTTGAAATAGAAAAATAAATAAGTCAATACTGCAATTACCAGCAGCAGTGAGTAAATACATCATTCTGGGCTGGTCCGGAGTTAGATGGCTCTCCTTTATCAGTGTCAAAGCAACCTTTTCATGCCAAGATGCAGCCCATTAGGCAGTGACTACGATGCCCACACACACAATCGCCAGCCACTCCGTGCCACATCTCAGAAGCACCTTTTCACCTATACAACTCTTTCTTCATCTTTACCACCAAGGTCTTCATTAAATAGATACATGAACATATTGTCATAGGTAGTACTGTAGGTTATGACTACGGTATTAACACACTGATTAAAATATGGTTAGACGACAATAGAGGTCGTCAATAAGTGTCATGGTAGCAAAGTGGTTATTACACTTTACTACAAATCCTGATATTGGATTCCAGGCCACGGCTAACATCAGTGATGAGTGATATGTAAATTGGTTCTGGACAACACCATAACTTCACCAACCACCACTGACGAGTGTGGTGAAGTATGGTCACAGTATGCCCATGACGATGAAGCATAAGGTCTCCATATAAATTGTTGCATATCCTATATGCAACAATTTATATGCAAAACAGTATAAATGCAGTAGAAGCATTTCCCTATACATATTCCACTTGGAATTATAGGCATTCCACCATTTTCTTTATCACTGTAAGTGTAGTGCAAGCTTGGAATTACTGGACATTGAGAGAGAGAAAGAGGAACACGTGGATTAGAGAACACAAGCAAGTCAGAAACATCATATTGGCAATTTAAAAAAGTATATGTTTAGGCTGGACACGCCGCCAAAATGGATAACGACTAAACTAACGTTGAAGTTTCAGCCAAAGGGTAGCACACACCCAAAAGGATATCAATCACAGAGGTGGAGAGATTAAATCAGTTCATGTGCACAAACTCGATGGACTGTCATCAACCCATACGGTTTACCCGTATTCTTGTATGGCGAAATTGAGTTCAGGTCCATACGGCATACAGCCGTTTCAACACGGGCAACATTTTGTCAATTTGTTTGTGTTTCTCCATTGCGATGGGACTTTGTAAGATAAACGTTGAGATTTACAAGGGCACGTAGTGACCAATAAGGTCTGAATTGGTCTGTAATAAAGTAGGCATTGATAATGGGGTTGACAGGTATGCAAGACTGTGAGAGATGGCAACGGTTCAACAGAAGATAGATCATGGCTGATGATGGGGAATGCATTGAACGAAGGTCTCTGTTTATAGCGTATGCTCTCCACTATACTGGATTGGACTGCGAATTTTGAAACACGAGCTTAAAACACTGAAATCTACAGATGCTCCCTCTTACTTATTTGCTTAACTCCTCTTCTTAAAGAATAATAAACCCGGCTGTGTTTTTTTTTAAACGTCCGTCAGCAAGCAACGGCACGCATAGTGGGTCCCATTCATACCAGATCTGCATTATGGCAGACAACACTCTGCACCCATACATTAGCATTCCGCACACAATTGCTTTAACAAACCAAATGTTTCTACGCATGAGCGATAAATGCGTGGCATGTTGATCGCCAGCACAACGCCACAATCCAAATGTATTAATCGCCGTACCTTTCATGCACCAAAATGCCATTAGCAACACAAATGTGTAAATTAGTCTTTTGTTTGGCAAGAGAGAATCGTCACATTTTCTGCAGTTTTATGAGGACATTCAGCCACATATTTCGTTTAAAGCCCTCTTAGGTTACAAATACAGTGAACACTTGCCCATTGTTAAGTGACCAGGTAAATGCAATAAAGATCCATTTAAATCCTACGCATTGTCAATGGCCTCTACCAAGGACATAAATGCTTTGAAACGTTGGACCCAATTAATGGATTACGACATTTTATATATTTCTAAAACACAAAAGACTGCGGATACTTACGGTCGATATAGGTAAAGTGAGTGTACATTTAACCCTGTTATGTGTTTAATAACTGTTACTTAAGCAGGAAAGCACACTTTCAACGTGACCTCGGTTAGGACCTAATAGCCCTTATCAAAGGATGCAAAAGGCATTCACTCAACTATCGAGGGACCACACACACTAGACATTATATTGCATGTAAACATATATACAGTATATCCATGCAAATACATACTTACAACAGATTAAAAATGCGGGGATTATTTGACCATACTTCACCACGCTGATCGCGGTTGAAGGCAGGAAGCACAGACATGGGGGGGGGGGCATGTAAGTTGAGTACAACCATGGATTATTGTTGGAGTGTCCATCTCCCCTGCTGTCTCCACTACTTTGTCCCAAAGTGTGGCCACGTCGTACGTGTTTTAACACTGTAGATGCTTTGTGCATATGAACTAATATTGAGCTTAGACAAAACCGTAACATCGTCCCTAACCCCATCTCTGTCAAGTTTCACTTCACATATTGAATCACTTATTGGAAAATCATGGCTGTGAACGTTTCGTGAGATCATATGGGATGACAAACGCTGTAGAGCAACCTCTCTAAATGTATTCATTCCTTGACTTGTAAATACGTAGCTGGTTTAGCTCGAGGGTTAATGTTATAGAGCAATGACCTTGTGCAATCTGTGAAATGTAAAAACTTTTAAGTTGAGCTTTTGCAGTTTGGTCTTGCAGATACTATCAACGTCATGACAGATCACATATACCGTGGTTAACACCGATTATATATAAAACCTTGATATTTACGATTGTGTTCCACGTTTTTTTTTAAATCTTAAGAAATATCTCAAACTTTGATATGTAGTTCAAACTAATTTGGTCGGCATGCCTTACTTAACGTGTCTATCTTGCTTAAAGCGACATCCTATCAATTAAGTCTCACATGCTCATAAAGTTCACGATTTACATACACAAAGATCCCTGTATAACCTTGACAGACTGGAGGGGCAAGTGCTGTTAGCGAGCACCTATTATGGCCGGCAGGGCACACACAAGCGGCTAGGTGGCCAGCACCACGCCCGGCCGCGTTTGTCTCCCCCCGTGGCGATGGTTTACTACACACCGCACCAGGTACTCATTTGACGCCGAGTCGCCCTAGTGGGAGGCCCCAGGACCAGTTCAGATAATCGTCACTGGCGGTGTTGCTGGTAGGAGCAGGAATCGAACCAGGATCGCTGCGTTTCGTAGCACAACGCGCTCACCGCTACTACACTACGGCTCCCCCACATTCAAAGATCCCCCATATAGCCTTAACAGACTGTAGGGGCAAGTGCTGTTAGCGAGCACCTATGAAGGCCGGTAACGGTACACCAGGGGGTGGGTGGGTGGCCAGCAACCTCGCCCGACCGCCTTTGTCTCCCTAGTGGCAATGTTTACACACCGCACCAGGTAGTCATTTGAGGCTGAGTCGACCTAGGGGAGGCCCGGGACCATCGGTGTTGGCCGGGTTCATAGCGCAGCGCGATAACCGCTACGCTACCGCTCCCCACCACATTACACACAGATGCACAAACAACAGTAAGCGCACAAGACATTGATTGAAACGTGGATGGCAAAAGCTTAACAAGAAACGTGCGTGCAAGGAGTCCGAACTGTGCGTTACCTTTGACTTGCGTCTCAAAGTCTGCCATGATGTCCTTTTCCTTCTTAAATTTCGGCGCCGAAGTCATCGTTGCTGTGTGATGGTGGTGGTGGGGGGCCCTCGCTTGGCTTCTTCTCTCCTACTATCCTACGAAACTTCACCGGGCACCTTTCGCGAAACGTCGCCCTTCTTTCTCGTATTCTTCTACATGTAAGATTGTACGAGTGTGTTGTGCGTGAGTGTGTTGTGCGGGTTCCCAAGTGTGTGTGTGTGCACAGAACGCGTGCTTTTGAAGCGTCCTCCACTTTTTAAGATGTCGCGAGACTTTTGCTGGGCTCGCTGGCTCCCCCTTTTCCACCTCTTCTTTCTTTTTTTTGTGCACGCCGAGCGCGTTGTTGCCAAGTCTGACCCGCTTTGCTTCGCTTGCCGCACGCCCCTTTCGTCCGGGGAAACGGAGTAAGAAATAAAGAAATAACTCTAAATAAAATAAACACAAAAGAAGGGGAGGGTGACGACGACGACGGCGAGGAGCTTTCGATGTGGAGTGTCCCAGCCCCCCCTAGAGCTCGAATAGGGATTACTCGGAAATCGAGTCCTTGAACCAAGCGATGATGATGATGCTGTTGATGAACATTACGTGATTAAAGGCGCTCCCCGAGTGTGAATAATGTGTTATTATTGAGACGTGTTTCTCGTTCGACGTGGTTCTTATGTGCTGTGTGGACTGTAGTATAATATATGCGTGGTGGCTGCGTGTTATTATCCCCGTGGTATTGTGGTTTTGAGCGTGAATGGTATCGTCAGCGTGTCTCGTGTGTATCTAGCACGTACGTATGGGCAGCATTGTCTGTGTATTATGTATAGCCAGCGTATGTTAACGAGTCCGTATAGCTTGTATAGTATAGTCACTATAGACTGTATGTAGTTACTGTAGACTGTTAGTGCGTGAATATACGAGTCTGTGTACTACCCCACTATATATTGTGTGTATACTGCAGTATATGTATATTATAATGTATAGATAGTATGGTATGTGCACTGCAGTATCTAGGTGTAATGTGAACTACGAATTGTATCTCTGGCAATGCTTATATCATGTGGGTTAGGTCTGCTATAGTATGTATACAGGATGTGTGTATACTGTAGTGTTGTGAGGGTCTCTACACTATTGCGAGTACTGTAGCCTATAGTGTACTTGTAAATGTGGACTATCAGGTATGTAGAATATTTAGTATGGGTGTAGAATGTTAGTGTAGTGTCTTTAGTGTTTGGAAGTTGTATAGCGTGCGTGTGTAATGTGGAAGCTGAAATGCGTATAAGTAATTAGCATGTGCGTATTGTGTAATGTTTACTATGTATATGCGAATACCAGTGTTAAATTGTGAAAACTGTGTATAATGCACTGTAGTGTACTTTATTAAATGTATGTCCTATAGTCCACGTGTAATATTGTACGCTATGTGCGCATGCTATTTTTCAGTATGCGTGCACGTGTGTATATTTGTATACTATCGTGGGAATAGCGTGTACTATAGTGGTAGGTATAGCGAGTGTGTATGTTGTACTACAGTGGGTACAGCGAGTTGTGTATGTTGTACTACAGTGTGTATGTTGTACTACAGTGGGTACAGCGAGTGTGTATGTTGTACTACAGTGGGTACAGCGAGTTGTGTATGTTGTACTACAGTGTGTATGTTGTACTACAGTGTGTATGTTGTACTACAGTGTGTATGTTGCACTACAGTGTGTATGTTGTACTACAGTGTGTATGTTGTACTCAGCACTGGACCCCGCATCTCGTCCCGCCGCCGCCTCCTCCTCCTCTACCACCGCCGAGGGCTCTCGCTTATCCCGCTGCCTGTGCCGCCTCACAGAGAGGAGACGACGATGACGACGAAGCGGATGATGGAAGAAAGAAGAGCAGAGACGATGAAGAGAGATAACGTGAGAGGATGAGCTAACCCAGAGGCGGCGGCTCAGCCGCAGCGGAGCCCCTCAGCGTCGCCAGGCGGACATCGCAACGGGGCCCCGCGTGGCATGCCGGGACACGTGGGGGGGGGGGGGGGAACGACTCAAGTGAAAGTGAACGAATTAAATTATGAACGACTCGAATTAATGAAAGTGAATGAATGGTACTATTATTGGCGATATAATTACCGTTGTTAAGTAGAGGGGGGGTTGGGAGGGGGGTATGACTGCCAAAGGAGTAGGTGGGGAAAATGAATAAGGGGGAATGACTTGAGAAGATTGTAGATGAGAGGGAATGAGTTGGTGTGAGGGAATTGATGAGAGGGAATGAGTTGATGTGAGGGAATTGATGAGGGATTGAGTTGATGAGAGGGAATGAGTTGGTGTGAGGGAATTGATGAGGGAATGAGTTGGTGTGAGGGAATTGATGAGAGGGATTGAGTTGATGAGAAGGGAATGAGTTGGTGTGAGGGAATTGATGAGAAGGATTGAGTTGATGAGAGTGAATGAGTTGGTGTGAGAGAATTGATGAGGGAATGAGTTGGTGTGAGGGAATTGATGAGGGATTGAGTTGATGTGAGGGAATGAGTTGGTGTGAGGGAATTGATGAGGATTGAGTTGATGAGAGTGAATGAGTTGGTGTGAGGGAAATGATGAGAGGGATTGAGTTGATGAGAGGGAATGAGTTGGTGTGAGGGAATTGATGAGAGGGAATGAGTTGGTGTGAGGGAATTGATGAGAGGGATTGATTGGATGTGAGGGAATGAGTTGGTGTGAGAGAATTGATGAGGGAATGAGTTGATGTGAGGGAATTGATGAGGGATTGAGTTGATGTGAGGGAATGAGTTGGTGTGAGGGAATTGATGAGGATTGAGTTGATGAGAGTGAATGAGTTGGTGTGAGGGAAATGATGAGAGGGATTGAGTTGATGAGAGGGAATGAGTTGGTGTGAGGGAATTGATGAGAGGGATTGAGTTGATGAGAGGGAATGAGTTGGTGTGAGGGAATTGATGAGAGGGAATGAGTTGGTGTGAGGGAATTGATGAGAGGGAATGAGTTGGTGTGAGGGAATTGATGAGAGGGAATGAGTTGGTGTGAGGGAATTGATGAGAGGGAATGAGTTGGTGTGAGGGAATTGATGAGAGGGATTGAGTTGATGAGAGTGAATGAGTTGGTGTGAGGGAATTGATGAGAGGGAATGAGTTGGTGTGAGGGAATTGATGAGAGGGAATGAGTTGGTGTGAGGGAATTGATGAGAGGGAATGAGTTGGTGTGAGGGAATTGATGAGAGGGATTGAGTTGATGAGAGGGAATGAGTTGGTGTGAGGGAATTGATGAGAGGGATTGAGTTGATGAGAGTGAATGAGTTGGTGTGAGGGAATTGATGAGAGGGAATGAGTTGGTGTGAGGGAATTGATGAGAGGGATTGAGTTGATGAGAGGGAATGAGTTGGTGTGAGGGAATTGATGAGAGGGAATGAGTTGGTGTGAGGGAATTGATGAGAGGGATTGAGTTGATGAGAGGGAATGAGTTGGTGTGAGGGAATTGATGAGAGGGATTGAGTTGATGAGAGGGAATGAGTTGGTGTGAGGGAATTGATGAGAATTGAGTTGATGAGAGTGAATGAGTTGGTGTGAGGGAAATGATGAGAGGGATTGAGTTGATGAGAGGGAATGAGTTGGTGTGAGGGAATTGATGAGAGGGAATGAGTTGGTGTGAGGGAAATGATGAGAGGGATTGATTGGATGTGAGGGAATGAGTTGGTGTGAGGGAATTGATGAGGATTGAGTTGATGAGAGTGAATGAGTTGGTGTGAGGGAAATGATGAGAGGGATTGAGTTGATGAGAGGGAATGAGTTGGTGTGAGGGAATTGATGAGAGGGAATGAGTTGGTGTGAGGGAATTGATGAGAGGGAATGAGTTGGTGTGAGGGAATTGATGAGAGGGATTGAGTTGATGAGAGTGAATGAGTTGGTGTGAGGGAATTGATGAGAGGGAATGAGTTGGTGTGAGGGAATTGATGAGAGGGATTGAGTTGATGAGAGGGAATGAGTTGGTGTGAGGGAATTGATGAGGGATTGAGTTGATGAGAGGGAATGAGTTGGTGTGAGGGAATTGATGAGGGAATGAGTTGGTGTGAGGGAATTGATGAGAGGGATTGAGTTGATGAGAAGGGAATGAGTTGGTGTGAGGGAATTGATGAGAAGGATTGAGTTGATGAGAGTGAATGAGTTGGTGTGAGAGAATTGATGAGGGAATGAGTTGGTGTGAGGGAATTGATGAGGGATTGAGTTGATGTGAGGGAATGAGTTGGTGTGAGGGAATTGATGAGGATTGAGTTGATGAGAGTGAATGAGTTGGTGTGAGGGAAATGATGAGAGGGATTGAGTTGATGAGAGGGAATGAGTTGGTGTGAGGGAATTGATGAGAGGGAATGAGTTGGTGTGAGGGAATTGATGAGAGGGATTGATTGGATGTGAGGGAATGAGTTGGTGTGAGAGAATTGATGAGGGAATGAGTTGATGTGAGGGAATTGATGAGGGATTGAGTTGATGTGAGGGAATGAGTTGGTGTGAGGGAATTGATGAGGATTGAGTTGATGAGAGTGAATGAGTTGGTGTGAGGGAAATGATGAGAGGGATTGAGTTGATGAGAGGGAATGAGTTGGTGTGAGGGAATTGATGAGAGGGATTGAGTTGATGAGAGGGAATGAGTTGGTGTGAGGGAATTGATGAGAGGGAATGAGTTGGTGTGAGGGAATTGATGAGAGGGAATGAGTTGGTGTGAGGGAATTGATGAGAGGGATTGAGTTGATGAGAGTGAATGAGTTGGTGTGAGGGAATTGATGAGAGGGAATGAGTTGGTGTGAGGGAATTGATGAGAGGGAATGAGTTGGTGTGAGGGAATTGATGAGAGGGATTGAGTTGATGAGAGTGAATGAGTTGGTGTGAGGGAATTGATGAGAGGGAATGAGTTGGTGTGAGGGAATTGATGAGAGGGAATGAGTTGGTGTGAGGGAATTGATGAGAGGGAATGAGTTGGTGTGAGGGAATTGATGAGAGGGATTGAGTTGATGAGAGGGAATGAGTTGGTGTGAGGGAATTGATGAGAGGGATTGAGTTGATGAGAGTGAATGAGTTGGTGTGAGGGAATTGATGAGAGGGAATGAGTTGGTGTGAGGGAATTGATGAGAGGGATTGAGTTGATGAGAGGGAATGAGTTGGTGTGAGGGAATTGATGAGAGGGAATGAGTTGGTGTGAGGGAATTGATGAGAGGGATTGAGTTGATGAGAGGGAATGAGTTGGTGTGAGGGAATTGATGAGAGGGATTGAGTTGATGAGAGGGAATGAGTTGGTGTGAGGGAATTGATGAGAATTGAGTTGATGAGAGTGAATGAGTTGGTGTGAGGGAAATGATGAGAGGGATTGAGTTGATGAGAGGGAATGAGTTGGTGTGAGGGAATTGATGAGAGGGAATGAGTTGGTGTGAGGGAAATGATGAGAGGGATTGATTGGATGTGAGGGAATGAGTTGGTGTGAGGGAATTGATGAGGATTGAGTTGATGAGAGTGAATGAGTTGGTGTGAGGGAAATGATGAGAGGGATTGAGTTGATGAGAGGGAATGAGTTGGTGTGAGGGAATTGATGAGAGGGAATGAGTTGGTGTGAGGGAATTGATGAGAGGGAATGAGTTGGTGTGAGGGAATTGATGAGAGGGATTGAGTTGATGAGAGTGAATGAGTTGGTGTGAGGGAATTGATGAGAGGGAATGAGTTGGTGTGAGGGAATTGATGAGAGGGATTGAGTTGATGAGAGGGAATGAGTTGGTGTGAGGGAATTGATGAGAGGGAATGAGTTGGTGTGAGGGAATTGATGAGAGGGATTGAGTTGATGAGAGGGAATGAGTTGGTGTGAGGGAATTGATGAGAGGGATTGAGTTGATGAGAGGGAATGAGTTGGTGTGAGGGAATTGATGAGAGGGAATGAGTTGTGTGAGGGAATTGATGAGAGGGATTGAGTTGAGAGGGAATTCATGGGCGACATAATTGTGAATGGATGAAAGATATTTGAATGAGGCATTCGCGAGGGAATTAATTAGGTGTTATTAACGGACGAGGGAATTAATGTGTATGAGAAAATGCATTGACGGGGGATTTACACAACGTAAAGTTAATGAATGAGGGAATGATTAATTGTTATAAAGGAATATATGGAAGGGGATTTATAGGAATTTAATAATACATGAGGTCATTACAAAAATAACGAAACGAATGAATTGCGAATGAGATGGTTAATTAGGGCACTGATGAATGGGGGAACTCATGGATGGGAAAAATGATAACACCAACCAGAGGAAATGAATGATTCAAATGGAATGAGGGAATCAAGGAAATGTAAACATCAAATGGAGGGATGAGCTAATCAGGGAATGAGTGGATGTAGGGAAAGTAAAGAGAGATGGAATTTGGTGGCACTGTATGAGATAAAATGTGAGGGATTTAATTGAAAAAGGATGACTAAATGGTGTGAACGACAGCAGGGGATGAATACGGTGATTGTGAGGGGAAGGGTGACGTCAACACGCACGATCGCGCCTCGTTGTGGGGGATGCGGGTGACGTCATCACGCAGACGTGCGCGGTGACGTCACGGCGCAATTGACCGCCGTTCCGGGCGCCAGCCTGCCAGCCAAACTTTTTTTAAAGTTTTCTAATAGAGCATGAGAACCATCGACTGTCTTGCTATATTTTTTCACCCGAGTACGATTGCTTGTGTTGCGATCGAAACGTCGTGATTTAAATCAAAAAAATTATATCTACGTGACTTTACCGAAAGACTATTTCCTCAAAGGAAGTTGTTGCAGGATCAACACTCAACACAGGATGCTGTATAAACATTCGTAAAAGTTATGGAAAGAAATACGGTGGCACAACCCAGTTAACATGGAACGTTGGTCCAACTTTGGTCCAGCGGTTCCGACCACACGCCAACATTGGCCCAAAGTTTACTTAAATTACATCTACTGTCCTGTAATTTGTTTTCTCCTCCACGAAAAAGCTTACATTTTAGGTGACCAACGATTTAAAGGAAATCTCGCGTACATCGGCATAGTTTTTTTTTGGCGCGAAAAACACATTAAGAGCAACAACATCGATTTGTCGATGTTTATTGGTGGGATCGATATCAGAAGGATTTCTATATCTGAAAAAGAACATCGCCCATTCCTTAGATGCATAATCATCGCTACAGGAGGCAGTGGATGTGGGTGGGGAATTTATTACTTCTCAATATGTGGGCAGGGGCATTACGGGAAATGTTACAACGGCGATAATAAATTGGATTATGATTATTATTGATAGTTAGATATCATGAGATATAGATGTGACGATTATTATATGAACATGCAATTATAACGGTGATAAGTTCATGGTCTAGTACTTGCTATGATTATATACCGTACTACACTTCACAATTTATTTTGTGTATACATAACGAATTGCATCAAATATACCTACATGCACATAAAGGTTTGATGTGCATAATACATAACAATACGAGGTTAAGGCCACATTTTTTTTTTATAAATGCCCATGGAAATCAGGATTATTTTAAAATAAATGTTGATTCCTGGAAACAAAGTCCATTATTGGACCGTACATCTCGGCTCCCCTCCACCAACCCGCACTGACGACAGTGGTGAAGTATGGCTAAATAACCTCCACGATCTACATGGCACGGATAGGCCCTCATCCAGCAGTGTAAAATCAAAACACCTTTCTCCTCGGCTCACGTAATATACACACACACACATTGTGCCTCTCATACCCATTTCCGTGCGCGTGTATTGTTCGTAATAACCTCACGCCATAAAAACAGTTTCTTCCCATCTGCTGCTGGCCTGTTAAACAAGGCCAAGGGCTAACACTGTTTTTAACATTTGATCTACAGAACGACACCTTACCGATATTAACTATATTACCCTATTTGTATTTTAAAATTATATCTTAAAGCTATTTTATATTCGATATTTATTTAATTTTATATACTTCAGCCCCTTGGTGTTAGACTTTTAACCCTTATTATAGTAAGACTTGTTTAAAACTTATTTAAGATTTTATGTTGAATGTATGCACCATCCTGCCAAAGTAAATTCCTTGTCGGTGTGAACTTACATGGCGAATAAAACCCTTTCTGATTCTGATCACACATACATTTAAAAAACTACATTTAAACACAGTTCAGTAATTTCAAGAAACCAAGAGGGGCCCCCTCACCAGACCAGCACAAGCACGTGTTGCCGGGGCCAACATTACGGCTGTGGCCTGCACAGAATGTGGAATCCCCTTAAGGGATTCCACATTCTGTAAGGCTTCCCAATCCCCTGCCACAAGGTCAAGCCGGAAGCGCCTTGACCTTCCTCTAACCTTACAGCGCCTTGACCTTCCTGACCTTACAGCAGCAGAAGCAGGGGTGCTGAAGCCCCCGACCGAATGCCATTGGATGGTACGGTCGCAGCTAGGGCCAATTTGTATTGAAACACCGTCATGTACATTTACCTGCCATTAAATGTTGCATGCTGAATGTATGCTTAACTTCTTTCGCACCGTACGTAGCCAATCGTGCCCATCGGAGGTGCGAAATGTTGCACCGCGCAGTGCTTTTATCAGTGACATTTTTTTGAAAGCATGGTTGGCTATGTATGGTTGCGAAAACAGTTCAATGTAAGTGGTCGTTGGCTGACCATGTCTCATCATGCTACTCAATGCAGATTTGTGAAAGGGATCCACAGTACTGAGTTCACGTAACACTGGTCCAGAATCGAACTCGGCTCGCTAGGGTCAATCGTGCTATGCACTAACCACTACGCCACCGCTCAATTTTAAAATTGTATGAGGGCGGAAAAAAAAGTCATTTCAGGTATTCAATGCAACCAATCCATAGGCTTAATTTCAGCCACAACTACCCAGTTGACGAGCGACCTGGAACATATCTAGTAAGAAGGTCCTGGGTACAAGTCAAGATACAGTATGTGGAACGTAAGGGAATTTAAGATCCTAAAAGTCCTCAACCTTTACACAAAATGATAACGTGAGTTTAAAAAAAAATTGACAGCCCATGTGAATTTGTTGGAAGAAAAATGGCCTTAAAGTAAATTTTATCGCCTATATATGTCACTCTCGAGATGATTAAATTGTAATCAATAACTGACATTCATCAACCATAACCAACCCACTGCTGGATGAAGCTACACAAAGCCCTCCCACCTCTCATGGTCCCGAAAATAAATAGTTGACACAGGGAATTGAAGAGCAGTTACAGTATGTATGTTTTTTACAAACTGGTAAAACACATTTTAATATACAGTATGCTTCTGATATGCTGCACTGGATTGTGCTAGAGATAAAGACAGATCTGAATGGACATAATGCAGCTGTTAGGACTTTTTTTTGCTCAATTCTAAAATTAAAATATGCAGCCTTTTTTTTCCACCCCCCCCCCCAATCTGAAATTAGGTCAAATTCAACGCACTACATCAATGAAATGGGACGCAAACGAAAAAAGGAACTATAATTAGCCGTCACATTCGTAAGGACTTGATAGCTATGTGACAAAGATTATGGAGTGTTTTGGGTATCCCATGGGAGGCTTTTTCTGATGATAAAAAAGGGAATTTCTACATTTCAAATTGGAAATAAAAGCCTGCGCCAGGGTATCGAATGGAGGCAGATTGACATCCCCGCAGAGAGATCAAAGTCCTTCAGTTTTTTTTCCATCCTTCAGTTGTATTATATATTCTACAGTACATACAGTACATTGCTTTTCAAAGGCAGACTTAACACGAGCCCTAAATGGGGTGCTGCTGTAGAAATGACAGGTGGGTTTAAACATGGGATTGCCTTCGCAGGAATTTGGGGAGACGCGTTGGATTTAAATGCAAAGGCGGCTCGGCCTTGGGATGAAAACCATCTTGCAGAAATATGCAGAAAAAAATTCCATTCGGAAATGTAGGTGCGACAATCATCATATCATGCTCCGAGCCACTGACAAAATGTGTAACGGATGTGCAATGTCGCCGCCTTCGTGTGCACAGAAAACTAGAACGATTATACAGATTTCAGTATGGTGCAGATGATTCACATAGCAGAAACAATAAACTCGGCCCTTTTTCTACAACCGCATTAAATAAACATAAGCTATAAATCACAACTCTTAGAACACAAATTACTCATGCTGACATGTTAATGTCATGTCCTTGACTCACAGCATAAACATTCCATGGGCTAATACATTGGCTTTTCAGGTGATGTCAATCTTAATAAAAAATGCAGATTTTCACAGGTCTGTTTATATTATCTAAATGTTGATCAATTACAGGCTTCTGTTTAAATGAGATGTGAAGCACAAAAGGAACAACCATCTCCCGCTCTCCCTTTGTAGTCGACCCGAATTTCACGTCCGCTTTTGAGAGCAGCTTCCACTCTCATCGCATAAGAAATTGAAGATATCGTCGAAATAAAATGTAGCTCTTACAAAGTAATTGATCGTTAAAGTAGCGATGTAACTTGCTGACGAAAGGAATAATACAAATTCCTCATGCTGTTTTTATATATTCTAATAGAAATGACAACAGTAATGTAATTTCAATCACTCGGTCTAGGAAAGTTGTTTACAAAAGTAAATTTCAAAAAAGAGAAATAGCCATCTGTATAGGCTTCTACAATACAAATCATTCAAGTTGTATGTATACCTAGAGAAAACGCTTTCAAACCAGCTATGTGCAAACGAGTGATGTAACACGTAAACCTGGGGAATTATAATCATCAGTGCGCCACATAACTTGACGGTCTAATCTGTGCGAATGCTTAACATTCATATGAATGCTTACATGCATACAGTGAAATGTGGAACGTATTGAGCGTGTGATGATAATAGTGTATGTAGTACAAGTCTCAAGATATTTGAAAGATCCTCTTGGGATGCAGTGCAAGGACAAGCAGAGGACGTGGAAAGTTCACTCAATTCACAGAACACTCCTTAAGACACTGTATATCAGAACACAGGATATCTTTATATGTATCGGTAAAACAATACTTGCAGCATCAGTAGTAAGAAAAGGGCTGACAGGCCCTCATGATACAAATATTCCATTAACGTTGTTACAGCCACGTGCACTTTGGTAAAAACTAAAAACAGGCAGATTTATGCATTATCCACTGTAACGTAATCTTATAAAGCTTACAGTTCATAAACTCCAAAATATACCATATTATACAGCTCAATTGCCAACTATTGATTGTCTTAATGAAATCCAAATTTAATCAGTCTTACAACTACCCATTTAATGAGGCTTGGCAGTTTGCTATGTCAAAGCAATTATAATGTAGCAAGCATTTCAACAAGTTCTAAATTAAGCAATTGCAGTATATAAAACTGCGATTCATTCTTCCAGAAATTTTAAGTAGCACGAACTTACAGGTTTAACACGCAACATGAATGAATTATTCTTGCAATTTCTATTGCAATTATAATATATTATCATAATTTGGCTAAACATTTCTCAACATTCTCGTAAGTGTTTTTTACTCATGAAAAAGTACCATTTACAATGTTTATATTCCATATATCAACTTTCAGTAGGCAAACAATTACACGAAACATTTCCGACTTAATTTAGTAAAAATTTACTTGAATTTGTACTGGAGACATTACAATACGTTAAGGTTAGTTCAATAATAGCTGCCCTTTAAATCACAGATATCTGAAAACTGCTATCCATGGTAACGAGGAAAATGGTAACTTTTAATTGCTATTGAATTTAACAATTTATGGCAACAGATCCAGCCTTTCACTTTCAGAATTAACATCTCACAAACCAACATCGCACCGGTCTTCACAAAAGGTTCATCAGGCATTCCATGAAGAAAATAGCTTCACAAATATCTTCAAGTAGACAGGAACCATGTTCAGTAGTAGACAATTAACAATCACAGGAGTGGTTCGTGTTTAACAGTTGGTGTCTTCACTCTTAAGTCCAATAGTCCACGCACGTAGCTATATAAACCAAGTTAATCAAGTAAAATCTGAAGCTTTTAACATTTTTCATTAATATATGATTTAAAATGTTCCCCACCAACTAAGTTACTAACTATAAACAACCCGGAATGGTGATGCTCGTCCGTGCTCAAATACTTTGAAGGGACAAGGGGTTGTGGATCACGCTTGTTTGTGAAACTAGCTGGGCATGACCCTCCTCAAAACAATCTTGAGACACCACAAGGCTTTCCTAGGTAAATAAATGGTATTGTCATACAGTACTGTACCATGAATCAAACTCAAAATTTACTCACATCCAGCCATCTAATTCACACGCAAAGGATTGTTTAGTCTTTATATTGATATGCTTATGGCCCTTTTGTTGCATAGTCCATTCCATTAAACCCAATTGTATATAAAATCGGCATTTGCTGACAGAAGAAAGCACATGATTTAAGAAAACATTTAAACAAAGAACTTCATTCAGAGCTGGGTGTCTCGAAAGCGCTCATTTGTTGAATTGAATGCATATAAAGCAAGCATTCTAATGCGTTATAAAACTTCAACATCACATGCAATTGCGTTCTACTTTCTCCACTGTCAACGAATCTAGTCTGAAGACAAGAGATTATCGCAACTCCAATATGGCTGTGTGGCGTGGTTGGCATGGGCCCCGGTGCGAGGAATGTTATCGGTTCTCCTGTTCAATTCCCTCCCCTCCGGCTCTTTGTAGCATGGTGCTTGTTTGGCCCTCGATGGCACATGGGCTACGGTGCAGTTGCACTGCCTACACTGTTGATAGCTAAGCCATGAGGTACGCACGTGTGTGTGTGGGCACCTCCATTTTTGGGATACAAGTTTAACCATGCAAAGCATGAGCTTTAGACAACCGCACCTATACACATTGTACTTTTACAATTTGGTTTTGGCAGATCAACTAGAGGTTGTATATAATAATTCCAAACACGGCATTACACGCACAAATTCTATTTCTACTTCACAAAAAAACTTGATTCCAAAAATATTCTCTATGTATTGTTACACTTCCATTTTAAAAATGTAAAAAAATTTATATTCAATTTTTCAATAATTATTTGCGTTCTCTTAAGCGCTTTAAAACCGCACACAAACCCACCCTGCACCCCCACAAAGTGCAGAACCAAATGTCACGACATCCTGTTACCAAAGTAGGACTTGCGGATTGCGCCGACGAAAGTGTCCCGCATCTCCACGCGGAAGCTCTCGTACCAACGTACGAGCCGCGCTCGCCTCTCCGCTTTGTCCCGTGCACTCATGGTGGCCTCTCGCCTCAGCACGGCCGGCAGCTCGCTCCAGTCCCGTACAAAGACGAACGGCGCGCCGGCAGCCTTAAGCAGGCGGAGAGGCGCCGCGTGCCGCGTCCACCGCCCACCGTTCGCCGTGGAGTTTCCGCAATGGCCCGGGGTGAGGACGTCCTCAACAACGGGCACGGAGCCCAGCGCGCTCGCCTCGTAGATGCGGTAGCACTCCGTGTTGACGCCGACGGGGCAAAGTGTAAGGTCGCTCTGCCGCAGCGCATCCATGTAGCGCCCGCGGCTCTCGGACGTCTCCATCGGCTGCCACCTGCGGGAACAGGCACGCACGATTGCGTGCATTCGTCAACTAATGTTTTTTTGTGTGTTTTAGCACAAGCATGCGTGGTTAATGCAGACTTGATACCTTGCAATTTGGTGTTTCAACATCTTAACATGCGTTTCATCTATTCTTACTTTTTCATTATTTTGATACTGGCACAAAGGTCCCGTAGACACACGCACGATATTCGTTGGTTTCATCTATTAGCTAAAACCAGGAACGCCGCCGTAGTGTCACGGTTAACACACTGGATTTGCAATTCATAGGTCGGCAGGTTGAGTTCTGTGGAGTACATTTTTGTTGTGGTTACTCCCACCTCCGCCAAGTCGTCTGACCAGTGTGGATGAGTAGGCCAAATATCCTCAAGAGACTCTATAGAGGTCCCTCTAGTAGAATCCTTTGTGCCAGCAGTGGTGTTATTATAAAGCCATTGCAGGACCTTTGACCTTTACTATTCTAAGCAATGTTAATAAATTCATGGCTCGAGTTCTCAGACTACGGTGTCGATTATGGGGTTTGTTCGACTATACTTCAACATGTTTGTCAGTGCAGGCTGGTGAAGAGGGGGGGGGGGTCCCAGGAAAAGCCAGAATATCACTCAGCCATGGAGTTAGCTGCGGCCAGAAATTGCACTCGGATCGCTGGGTTCATTCTACAATATACTAACCAGTGCCACCAGTCTGCATATGATGTGATAAATCGCACGGTCATAAATGTGTGTTTTCCCATTGCTGGTGATCCTCAGCGTCAACGAGGAGCAACAGGATCACTATTTACCTTCAACCAAATATCCCTAAATTCACAGAATTCAGCAGATCTTAGAAGCTAAGCAGATTTGAGCCTGGTTGTTATTGGATGGATGACCACCAGGGCCTCGTTGCCTGGTGTCAGAGGCATTGGGTTGCAAAGTTGGACAGGAGAATGGGCAAACATTCCATTTGCAAATAATTGATATATTTACTACCTTTCTCCAGTTATAGTTTGGAAAACACGCATATTCTCAGTCACCCACATTGTGATGCCTCACATTTATCCAAATTGTGGCCATGAGCCACCTCCGTGACTTCCCAGAGCCAGCCACTCATCATTGTACATTATACAGGAAGCATCTTAATACAAATATGGACGTTGCTGCTTGTAAACGAATACAATTGCAGCTTGTAGAAATCTAAAGTTATTAAGAATGACCCACATATTTAATTATGGCATACTTCCAAGTGTAGCCACATGGAAGCATTTTTTTCATCAAGACAATTAATATAACCGAGTGTTGTCAGAAAATTTGGAATTCATTACCAATGTCTTGAAATAGAACTCTTCCCTTTGCAGTTCATGTGTTATTTTAAGTCCCTGAAGGCCCTTGCAACCCATAAACAAATGCAACCTCGATTTCAAACGAGCCACGAGGCTACTGAAAAAAAGCCCAATATGGAACCTTTAAATGACCTGCTGGAAGGCTATACCTCAAAGACCTCCGCAACCTCGTTATAAGCATCACGGCTCACTCGCACGACAGCATACACTCACACTGGTTGGGTGCCCACAGGCTGACAGACCGACGCGCTCGAACGTAAAAAGAACATCGCGGCATGCGCACTCGCACGCACCAAAAGGCACACACACGAGCGTGCGGGACAGTCGATGTTAACTGCCGCTACCTTGTCATCAATAACGGTAACGTTCAATTGCCAATGTGTGACCACCAGTTTATGATCATCAATCACATGCAATGCCACTTTTGTTTGCGTGTGTGTCCACATAAAAATGGATTTATACATATTATACTGTATATCCTAATGTACTTTTTCATACATCCATTCATTGATCTAAAATATTTTGCCAAGATGGGCATGTTAATTTAAATCGTTGTTCATACTGAAGCACTCTCTCAAGACTATCATGCTAATGATGGCCAGTAGTTACGATCCACATTGCGATTAAATTGAAATAATTCACAATATATTTAAATAAAAACTCATAACACGCAATTATCGTTTAACATAAACCGATATCTTGCTTGAGACTTTAAATCATAGTTACAAATAATACCCGAACTGGGTACCCCAGGAAATAGCTTCAATTTACACCTTGGCTGGTAAATCAATACGGTTTTCACATGGCTGAGACTTTTAAATGATGAAATGTGAGATTTGCTGCCAAGGAAATTGGCAGCAGCTGAACTACAAATTGGTAACCGAATATGAACGGCATGTGACATTGGTTGGAGACGCACGCTTCCTTGGACTGTTCATGATTTCTCGGACACCAGTAAGAGAGACTGGCTACGCTCCGAGTTTACATTCCACAGTCTGCGGCTTCGTGTGATAGCGACGGTAACCTATGGGAAGGAGGCCATATCATCCTGTGGTCTCACAATGGACATTTGCTCGTAACTATCGGGTAGGCAGGCATTGCAACAGCACTGGGGACTAGGTGCTGGGCAAAGAAGAGGGGGGGAAAGTTGGTGGAGGGGGGGGGAACCATGTCAACCACACTCCACTACTTCTCTTACAACCGAATACAGTTAAACAAAAAAAATACTATCAACTATTTTTTCTTTTACCAGGTAAGGTCCACTGAGATATATAGCTCTTTTTCATAAGCAACCTAGCCACAAATGATGGCTCAACGAAGTGGATGATCATGTGGAACTTTATAGTGGTCAAATACTCTAAGCGCATGATTCTAATTCTGGAGGAAATTACGGAGGACCCGTAGCAAAATTCACGTGACCACGGGGTGAACATGCAAACTCCAAATATAAAGGTGTCAGGGTCGGGGTCAAACCCATGACCTCAAGTATACCATGTGAGGTATTTAACATCACACCACCGTGGTGCTCCAAGTTAGTGAAGCAGTCAACCTGAACCCACAGTCATGTGGCCACTATGGTAAGATAACATCACATTGTGTATCGTTTTTGTTTGACTACAAGCATGCTCAACAATCGTAAAAAAACCTCAAAGCTAGTCATGCATATGTAGGGGGCTTTGTGAATTGCAGATAAGTGGCAGGTGGGTCCTTTCAACTGATGCAGCTGCAAGAAAAATGAAAGTCCACGAGTTGAGACATCCACTTTAAAACCGTCTGCTTCCTCAGTCCTGCCAAACACTATCACCACGTGTCACAGAGCAACACACGATGCTGCCTGCCACTGTTAATTAGGCATGTAACGATTCATCGATTTCAATAGACTACCACGCTCACAATACAGTTATCAATTCTGCAGGTACAAATACATTATTTTTTAGATTTGTATGCTGTGTATGTTCGGCCCTTTTCTGCCAATCTACCTGGCTGGGTGAAGAACTCCCCACGCCAGAGGTCACGGGGGTTAGTCGATCAAACTTCACAATGCTGGCCAGTGTGGGTTCGTGAAGGCGAGAAGTAAATAAATTATAGTACAACAATGTATTATGCTGCATTTTCCTGTAGTGTTTACCATGTAGCCGCAACCTGTTTTGTACACGGTGGTCACCCATCAACGCACCAGTCAGGCTCAACCCTGTTTACCTTCCGAAATCTGACGAGATCGGGCACATTCTCTGCGATTTGGTCGTTGGGGCTCATATGCCGTAGCTAACCTATAAATTGTGATTGCTTCATGGAAACATGATGGCTGCCATAGATTATGCATGCAAGGCCCTGAATTGTGACAATTAATACAATTATGGAGGGGGGAAATGAAGGGAATCATTACACATCTCATTTTGGGAATAAACAAAATAACATGCGCTATTTCTTTATTCTACATCCTATAGTTTCCTGTCAGGTACATGGATTCTTAGTACATATCCCTGGTGTTATCATATGAAATTTAATTCACATTCAGCAAAGGCTATTTTCTACCAAAGCTTGTTTTTCCTCTGTGGTCAAAGTATTTTTGGTGCCATTATAAATGTACTTGCAGGAATTTAAAGCACAATATTCATTCTTGATTAATTTCCAAAGAACTGTGGTTGAAATGCTTGCCAAGCACGTGAATTAATCTATGGGAATTAACGATGACTGCGAGGGGGTTCATGAGGCATTCCAGGTTCTTCAGGCATTCCTTTACCTACTTGACAAACTGGGAAGAATTCACTTCCATTGCATTGCTCTTAATGAATGACAAGAGACAGTTGGTGTTGTTGTCTAAAGCTGCAAAAAAAGTTTCCAAAAGATAAACAAACGAGGCTTTTTCAGCCCTAATATGACCATGGAGGCATGTCCACAAAGGAGACGAGACTGTCAAAGCGTGGTACCAAGCGATGGTGAAACTGAACAACGAATGTTCCACTTGCCAATGCAAAGCCGCTGTTTTTACAGGCAGCACACAGGTGTTGGAAAATTAAGCGTGAAGCATGCCACATCATATCTTTGCGAGCGTCCCCTAAATCCTCCCTCCTGGCAGCCGACCACTCGGGCGATTCTGGATTGTTGCAAAATGGACCAGATGGCCACACGCTTTCCACGTGTGGAATATTTTTTTGTTTGCCGGGATATGATGGAAGAAGCTACTGGAAGTTTTGATCGGTAAAAGGTTTTGTGGGATTGTGCCCCATAAACAAGTGAGAAATGGGGCCTAAAACTGTTCGCCACATGCAGACATTGCTATTATGCTGCTATCATCCTTAAAGACATGAAAACCCCGGTCGCATTGTTTATTTTTATACTTTTCATGATTTTGCTGATCAACAAATAAAGTCAAAGTGGCAATTTATTAAATATGATTAGAAGCGCAATTAAGTGCACACAACATGTAGTGTATGAAAATACAATCCAAAAAACATATCCAAAATTATTTCAGATATGCAAAAACGATTTGCTTTTCTGCTGTTAAACGTTTTAATGAGGATGATTTTTTCAAGACCATTATGAGACCATTTACCAAGCATTTCCATAATTTGTATGGTAAACGGTGTGCTCCTGTGCTTGCAAACCTATCTGGACAAGAGAAGTATGTTCGTGCTAGAATTGCCATGGAAGAGTCCTTGAAAAAGTTGGCGTTGTCCCTTGAAAGGAGAGCAATAAAATGCAATCACTTAAAATTTGCATCAACATCTTTGAGAACAAATGTAAATTTCATCCCCTTGTGAAGTGGCAATGAAAAAAAATTTAAAAGCAAATACAAAATCCAGAATGAAAATTTTAAAAATGTTCCTCGAACCGACCGAAAGGTTAATGTACTCTGCAACAGGAATATCTGCCTCCGGTCTGCGTTGACATTTTACAGACAAATGTACCTTTTTTTTTACTGATCATGAAGGGAATGTCAACTTGGAAACCAAGTCACCCTTAAATCAGAAACACACTGCTCAAAGTAATCCAATTTCTTCATCTGTTCATTTTCAAAAGGCATTTCTGTCTGAATGCCTCAAAACAAATCACATCCGATGCTATCCAAGCGAAGTTACTATGGGACTGTCATGTGGAAGATGGGATAACCGAGCTGCCTAAAATAAATAGAAAATCTAACATGTTTAGCACTAGCAATGTAAAAACTAAATCAAACTCACACCTTCCTCCGAAGAGTACTTGAGGTTGGTCTTCACACCCAAAGGTGAATTGCATCTGTAGTCACACTGGAAAGGTGCAATCCAATCTATCCTTTCTACCATGCAAGAATTCCATACCAATAACTCTGTATTATAAAACGCCTGACAATAGGAATAAAATTGGGAAAACTGACAACAATTCAAAGAGTGGACAATAATGACAATGAGGGCGCATGAAGCAAGTATGTATGCTGAACTTCTTTCACACCGGACGCAGCAAACCGTGTTAATCGGAGGTACTGGGGGAAGGATGTAGCTGTCCACGCACCGAGGGATTGTGTGTCCGTGCATGCGCGTGTCCTCGTGTCGGCACTCACTGCTCGCGTTCCACAACGAGGCAGGAGTCCCTGAAGCCAGACTCGTGAAGTGCGCGCAGCATGGCCACGCGGGACGAGCCCGGGTACACGGTGCCCAGGAAATTGCAGGTGTAGCGACGCGGCTCATCCAGGGATACCTCGGACGGCTTCACGATGGGGAAGCCTCTGTACCTGCAGGGGACCAGCCATTAGCAGTTTTAACGAATGGTGCGCACTTACGCTTGCTCCGTGGTGTCATGAATTGTTACAATGCAGTCACAATTCTAGTTTTGAAACCGTTTAAAGCCACAACATTTTCAGTAGGCTCAGCCAAGGTACATGGGTGAGCTGGCAGACCCAGGCCCATCCTGGATTTGCCTAACCTACTTTTACAACACTTTCCGCACCCTTACAATGAATTGCCTTGCTGGTAGTTACATTGGCCCCAAGCCGACTGCTCATACACTGCCCTCTCATCTGGCAATCCTGCCGACTACTTTATCCTGGCCAAAGCAGGGCATTTGGTAGCTTTAATAATATTCTTGGTTCTTTCGGTAAAGTTACGTAGAAGGGAAACAATAAAATAATAAAAATATAAAACAATAAAATTATCACGGCGTTTCGACAGCAACACAAGCAATCATCATCAGGTGTGAAAACCACAGCAAGAAAATTTGAAAAAAGGTGTTTTTTTAACGTTAGCACCACAGAGAGCGATTTGGCAGTTATTCAGATGGACGAGTCCATCTATGTTCGGAAAAGAGGAGGGGGGAGACGAAAATAATGGATGCGGTCTGAAAGCCACTGTAAGCGTGAACAATCAATTAAGACCCGAAATGGTTTATCAAATCCTTCCAATGATTGCTAAGCCAGAATCCATCTTCTCGGTTGAAATTGTCTCTGTGTTTGTATATGTGGATAGCCTCATGAACGAATCTCTCATGGTAGCCAGATAGCTTGCAAAGAACCTCTGTCTTGGAGAAGTCAATGTCATGTGAGCCTACTGAATTATAACAGTAATCTGCCACGGCCGAGGTGTTGGTCCTACCGTGTTTTAGGTCTGCTTTGTGTTCACAAATGTGGTCCGAGACATGTCGTTTGGTTTCTCCAATGTAACTACTACCACAGAGGCAACTAAGTTTGTAGACGCCAGCGTACTGTATGTCCGGAATCACATATTTTACAGACGGAACCAGATCACGAATTTTATGTAATGTGTTGAATCGGACCTGGATCTTGTGTTTATTCAAGATTTTGGAAATCTTTAATAATGTTGTGCATTTTGAATCAACAGCTGTACGGATTTTTTTTAGTTAACAAATATGAATCAGAATCAAATATTGCAGACACCATGCAATGCATGCGTCATCGGTGAAAGGATATACATTTTATAGACATAAATAGTTTGTTACGTATCTATTATATGTATGATGAAATTCAAACAAAGTTAGGCATGTTAGGTGCTGGCTCATTTGGTGAACATGCTCATGTATTTCAAATATATATTATTAGAATATGTTCATGGAATTTCATTATGAATCCGCCACAAGTCTCCTCAAATCACTGTGCGCATTGCGCTGTAACATTTCCAGGAGTTAAACAATGTATTCTCATTAGAAAAGATGTTCTGCAATTAAAAGGGAGGCAGTGTCTATAAACTCCACATAGCTGAGCATCATACACTAAAAAGCGTACAGAAATGCTCCCTTGCAGTCCTGGAGCATTAACGGCGCTATTATTGACTGGGTGGGGGACACACGCTTCACCGGCGTTAAGTGAAGCCTGGCCCTTGGAGATAGCTCTTGCTGTCTCCTATGGGCACAGAAAGCATTTCAAAGAAACTAAAGATAGAAAAATCGTGAGGCGGCGTTATTCCAAAATTATAATCTAAAGTGCCACTCCGAAAGCAAAGTTGTACGTTTAAGTTCATTTCAGATCTCCGTCTGCAAAGAAAAGATTTACGCCGCTGGTGTAGAATTCCATTTGATGCTTTGCTAATCCTGTGCGTGTTTACCTTGAGACTAAAAATCAATGGGAAACTGTAAAAATCTACCCACCCGCCCTGTCTGTTTAAAGGCAAATACTGTGATCAGCAGGGGTAAATAACCACATTGGTGGTTAAGTAATCAATAGTGGAGTGCATCCAGCAGGCCTCATTGGCTCATATTGCTGTATATAGGCTATTTTAGTTTTGTATTCTGCTCAGTCCGGCATGGCCACGAAACTGGGTTAAATTTAATCTCAAATGAAATGTTTACAAAATACCCCTGTTTTGTCAACAAAGTTTCAATGAAAATTACAATGAATAAACATGATAAATAGTTGGTTATGTATGTATATTTTGTATGGGATTTGAATATACAATGTAATGTAAACTATACTATTTCAGAACAAAACTAGTTCACAGGATGTTGCGAATTGCAATCCCAGAACAATTATCAGCATTGGGATGTTAGGACAATACGAGTTACGTAGTACGATTTTTTTTCGTTGGCTCTGGAAAGAAACCCACCATCCGAAGGAAGCCCCAGACACAACAGCAGGAGAAGATACGGAAAGTCCTTGCTTAACATGTGGGCGCCATGGGATGACTGCAAGTTGATTTTATCGTGCAAATTGTTATTCCCTGCAATGTATATACAAGTACTACCCTCGCTTAACGTGTTTTCGTTTAACACTGCACTTTTCAGGAATGCATCGACCACGTTAAAATTAGGCATTGCTGTACAAACTGGGGCACCGAACCCAAGCACTTCTTACTGTGATGCGCAAGTGTCACCACTGCTGCCGACAGCCAAATAAAATGACATGTAACATGTCAGATCCAGTTCACATAGCCACCCTGGAAGTGAGATAAGGCAAGGAAATGGTGAGTGCAAAGCTGCAGTGCATATGCATCAAGAAAATCCACTCCAGGCGCATGTATGTATGTATGTTAACATCGGAGGTGCGGTGGAAGAACAAACTAAACACACGGCGTCGACAGTCATGGAATTTTGTGGCTTTAAGAGTCACTGGAGAAAGCAGCGTTAAAATATGGATCCAAAACTGCTTATAATCTGCCACTGGAATCTCAATTGCAAAAAAAAAACTACAAGCATATTGTTGGAAATGAAAATTAAGCACCTATATGTGGGTATCTGGAGTCTTTATATCTGACTGGGCAATAACTGCAATGAGCAGTTAAGGAAGCTTCCAGGGTGGCTTTAAACGTCCACAAAAAGAGATGCGCACAATCATCCACTAGGCTTATGGTCTCAAATCAATGTAAAATGTAATTAACTTTTTTATAGTGGTTGTATCTCCTACCGCATCGGGACCGTGTTGGCGCATTCATGAATTCAGTTGCTCAAATCTTTGGCTCATTACAGTGCAATGCGTACCACCAGGAATTCACATTTCAACATGTCATAATTTACATCTTCCATTCATTAGGAAGTAATTAGTCACTTGGCTCTACAATAAAATGATAATTCAATATAATTATTCAATTCTAATTTTAAGTCTGGCATCGAGGTTTTTTTTTCAGTACGTGGAATTAGACGCAGCATCTGTACGTATAACTCAAGTGCAAGATTGATTCAGAATTGCAATGCACAACTCGGCACAATGACTCAAGATGGCTATAGTACAGTTCTTCAAGGCACGATTTCAATCTTGGGAAATGTCAACCTTGTTGACCGTCTAGCTGTGGTTCACATGCAGCAATTAAAGTGCAATTTCTCCTCCCTACCTGACACCCAGGCCACCAAGCAGGGTCTTTACATTGGGCTCAGCACCTAACATATTGGTAAACAAATGGCTCGTAATGATGCATCAGCCCATGGGGTATAAATGTTTATTTCACTCACAGAACTTACCTCGAATTGTGTGGGAGAGGAGCAGATTATTTGTGAATTTTAAAAATTATATATCTGGTTGCAAAAATATTCTTGCATTGAATCATGGCCTCGAATATAGACAACTGCTGTATCACTGGAATATGAATAGTCGTATCTCAGAAAACAAGATAGTACATGCACACTGTACGTCAATATATCTCGGCATTTATGTGTTCCGACCACTGTTTTCCTACCTCAGGGGATATTGCAATGTGGAAGGGGCATTTCCTCCTCAACCCCAAAAAAATGCGCGTGTAATAATCACCTCAATGAAGTAACATTAATCCCTTCAACATATTAGATCACCCCAAACGAATGAAAGACAACCATTACTGCTACATGGCAAAAGCATGCACACATTCCTTAAACCAAGAACGAAATTATGGACACCAGGTGATCATTATTTTTAAACAGTTCAGTAAAAATACAATACCACCAGCGAGCACTTTTGAGGCTTGCTTGTTGAAACTGCAGTTTTTGGAGAAATGCACTTCCTTCCAGCGATAGAATGCATTAATTTCGAAAACTTGATATAGTACTGACATTTTAAGGCAATTAACGGCCTTGCATCTGTTCATCAAGAAACTCATGCTCATCTAAGGCATAAAGATCAGGAGGAACCCATCTCTCCCTCCTGGTCGTGCCACAATCCCGCGTGGCTGATGTTGGCGAAATAACTTTTTTTAATATATTAAATTATCACAAATATTACTGGAACCGTCTTTGATTACAACTTCAGTCATGCCCATCTCTGCGAGACCTTTAAGCATGGTTGTATTGTAAGGAATAAAAAAAAGTCCATGCTTATTAGAAGTTAATTTGTATGGTAAATGGTTGAGTGCTGCATTTTTTAATGTTGAGTGTGGCATCTTTCTGAATGACATTGGCTTCTGGTAAGGCTTATGAAAAAAGGAAAGGTAAATAGTTGCATGTACATTTTTAAAATATTTTGCATGCAGTATGATTAATACTTTAGTGTGGTAGGATTATATGCGACAATAATGTTTGTTGTGATGCACCTTTGAGTAGTTCTTCAATGAAAGGTGCCATATAAATGTGATTTGTTATTACTATGATGGTTGGGCGTTGAAAACTACGATCGTGAAAATTCCTTCATCCGTGCTCCTATTGGCTCCAGATCGATTGGCAGACCTTCCTATTATTTGCACATCCGTTCTCTCTACTATCTATGCATTTGCATGGATCAGAGTAATAACCCAGAGGTCGAGATAATTATCCTATTATCAGCTCTAATGCAGGAGTTTGACCCAACCTGGATTTACCTGGAAGCAGTCTTCCAGTATTAGTACATTATTCATCCTATTTAAGCATGGCTGAGAAGAATAACTTAGGAGTCCAAGCATTTCTGTTTGACAGATGAACTGGGTGGACTTGTGTTTAACAAACACTAATACTATTCGAATGTATTTTTACATATGGTAAGCCTCTCATTTTAACCCATGAGAAATCTATTTTTGTGTAGTGATAGCAACATATCTATGGTGAATAACACACAATAATGCAGCTTACCTTGCGTGCGTTACAAGGGGCTGCAAGATTAATTTTTTAAAAATGTAATAATGCACGCGCCTTGGTCGTTATCTGCTAAAATGCTGAACACAAAACGTGACATAAGCACATATGGAGGGTTGTAATGTTCAAAATAAGCTCATCCCGAATGATAAAAAAAATCATGTTGGTCAAACAGTTCCTCCTCTCGGTGATAGATGTTTACATCCGCTAATAATGTACAGTATATTGCAGTTCCTCAAAAATAACCCCGAAATGTTAACCATCGGCAGCAGCGTTAAGGAAGGAAATTTTTGGTATCGCAGTTAAACAAAGACAGCTATTTAGACCTAACAACTTGCATGTGTCCCAGAGTGAATGTCATAATCTACCAATATGTTTGCCATTAAAGAATTTAAAATAACATTTCCATGAAACAAGGCTGAATTAGCGAAAGGATTGTGTTTAACAAACACTAATAGTTTTACCAGGCATCACTGCAGATAATAGACGATGTTACGTTAGACTGGCAATTTAAAGTTAGAAATACCTGCCTATTGGGCAATAAGATGAGCATTGCCATGGCAGAAAATCAGCTTCAAGCTCGGATTACTTTGAGGAATTAAGATTCTGTATGCACATTTCTTTACAACTTTAACATGGAAATGTAGTTTCATTCGTGTATAAACTGACAATAGCGAATTAAATAGAAAATAAAAATGGCAAAAAGCAAAATAACATTTAAAAAATGAATAATTCGTTTTATTCCATCGCTGGAAAATAATTACTATCATTCCACATTGCACCCAGCCTATAATTAACAGCTGGGTGCAGGGAGAAGCATAATCAAGTGGAAGTCAGATGTTAAGTTATTATTAAAACCTGGTAGAAAATGTCATGGCGTGCCACAAACCGCACATTCAGCATGAACCAAGCACAGCGCTGTGTCCCAGACACGCATTAACGTAGCGACCTTCCAGAATTAATGCGGAAGTTTGATCGTTCTACAAACACAACGGGTCAACTGAAACTTGCGCGGAATTCCCCGAAGTGGCATCTTGGCGGGGTGTTTCGGAATGAGTAGTGGTGTAACAAAACAGTACGTCGATTCGTGGATCAATATCGATTCCTAACCCTCACGAGGCATGCGTTGAATTGCGTGCTTTAGATTGAAAGCGTCACAGCGGCTTTATGGTTAAAGAAAAATATTAATACTGTAGAATAAAAATGTCATGCACGAACTGTTTTTTTTATTACAAGAGGCCGTGAACATGACACGGTAATTATGTGGCCATTCATAAGGCAAGCAGTGGGAGTAAATACACTTGGTTGAAATGCAATGCTTGGAAGTCACACATGGTTCAGCATTTCCACGCTTCGATGAATTGTCACAATTCTGAGTCATCATTTGACCCAATGTATTTTACCCTTGTGGAGGTTAACAAAAAGAAAATGTCTAGGCCGCATGGCATAGTGATTAGAGATAACTTATCTCGCGTAACAAAAATTCCACGAGGAGTTGACTCCAGTGTCAACCGAATTAGTACCACTGTAGGACGTCAACAATAATTAAGCCATGGCAAGACTCGCCCCTGCCATAGTAATGTGTGGTTTTGATCATAGACTTAGGGCTGCAAAACAGAGATGCGTCACACACCCCACACCCATTTGGACAGAAAACCACTTCGACTATTAGAACTACAAACACATGAATGGGCAATTATTCTGCATGTATCTTGAGCACAATAATCCACTTATAGTCTATTGCCATAACCCTATGTTGTGGGCAGCAGAGCAGTGCAGCAAAATCTATAGTTGTGTAGGGGTGTTATGGGGAACAAACACATGGTGCGGGCAGGTGTGGCACACCCACACCTTGATGGCTACAACCACATCCGCTATGGCTCCACCCCCAGTGGGTACAAAGGGCGGGGAGCCAGAGAGCTCGGGGCAGAGTGTTGGGTCCGAGGCTGAAGTAACCAGTGAAGAAGGAAGGCCAGCTAGGTAAGACCCTGGAACTCCTGTGACCGCTGCCCTTTTCAGGGCCGGCACAGCAAGCCAGTGGTGCGGCCCCAGAGCCCCAGAGCCAGAGTCCTTCTAAGGGCCGGTCTGGTTGGTGGGGTGCCGAGATCTGTGCCTAACCAGGGCCAGATCAGATAGCCTCCTTTAGAGCCCATAGCCGAAGGAATTGGGAGCCTAGCGCTTAGGCTAGATAGCCTGGGGTTGTTCCTGAGGTATACGGGTGAAGGGGCCACCACCCCTTCCAGTGTAACCCTTGATAAAGTTTGAATAAATAGTGCTGCCTCTACTCTGCCGTCTCCGTGTCCTGGAACCCACTACAGTTGTACTGTACTATGCTCTCAGATCTATACTCCACTTACACCCAATCCACACTTGCCAATGCCGGATTCACAAATACGAAGGAGGCATTACAGAAATAAGCTTTACTACACTCCAGATGGAATTATCTGGCTCAACCACCTCATAGTAAAATTATAGTTGTCGCTCTACATCAACATCAACCATACAATAACAAGTCTCGTCGAAACCTTTTTGCCAGAATAAAGACAATAAAAAATTGGCTTTACCTCTTCTGGTAAGAAAGAGGTCTGGGTTTAGGCCAATCAGTTTCAAAGACAATGCATATGTTATCAGCGCATGTTTGTTTGCATGTTTTGCCACAAATGTGTGGTTAATGCAGATTTGATACCTTAAAATAGGTATCCATTTTTGGTGTTTGAATACCTTGACACCTGTTTTGTTGCCAGAAAGGGTAAAGCATATTCTTCTTTTTTCAAGAATAAGAGGGCTGACCTAGCGTGGCAAAGCGTTGCCAAGCAACTCCCACGGCATCAGAGGGGGTGCAAGCCATCATCCAGCAGTGGACTGACACCAGTGATGTAACACGGTATGGGGGGGGGGTACCGAGTGCATGGGGCCCAGCTGGACTCACGTCGCAACACCGAGTGGCCACTGCAGTACAGAGGAGCCGTCCACCAAGGGGCTGTCGTACACGAGGAACGTGGGCTCCAGAAAGCCGCCAGCGCCGCGCAGTAGCGGCACCAGCCAATCGTTGTCGCAACGCTCGTTCCCCAGCAGCACGAGGCCGGCGCCGCGGATCCTGCCCTGCTCCACCAGCTGCTGCGCCCACTTCAGCCAGGGCCTGGCAAATGCCACCTTAAAGACGGCCACAGAAAAACAAACTATTTCAATTTTACCAAGGGCCCACTGAGCTAGAGAGCTCTTTTTCATAAGCGACCTGGCCACAATTGATAGCTCAAACGAAGTGGCTTATCATGTAGCGATTTATTGCAGCCAAATATCCTAAACGCAGGTTGATTCTCAATATGGAGGGAAACACCAGAGAAAAATCTACGCAGCCACGGGAGAAACATGCAAACTCCAAATATACAGGCGTCAGGGTTGGGATCGAACCCATGCCCTCCGGTGTACTAGGCGAGGTAGATAACATCTCGCCACCAAGAGTGAAGCTACTCTCGAGTGGTGTTTCTCAACTACAGTCCTCAGAGCCCCCCCACCCCAAGATAAGGATTTCCGTGAACACCAATACCAATCGCTAGGTATGTGCAGTGTCCTGGCTTGGTTTGCATTGGAATAGCAAAGAATCCAGCCAGGCTGCTCAGCGATAGACGAAGTGGCTTCACAAATTGCGAATTCGAATCCTGATTGGGGGGGTTGACTCAGGCCATCATCCCTGTGGGGTCGTTCTCTTGGGTGAGCAAATACTACGGCGCATTACCAGTTGAAATTATTCAGTGGGGGTGCAACAGTTACAAAAGGGAGGCACAAACTGGCCAACTTCGTAAGTGATTTGGATCGATTTTGGCCAGGTCTGGCTGCTGTGCTCTCCAGCCCAGCTTGTACCAGTGGTCATGGAAACAAGGCACAAGTCTAGCTTTCCAACGTATTCTCGAATTGTACCATGCATTCTTGAGTACGGCAACCGCCGTTTCGCTCCACCACGTGCTGTTGGGAGCTTCTCTCAGAGCAGAAACGCAGAGAAACGTGAGGACCATCGTGCCAAACAACACGCGGTAACAAGCCAGAAACACATCAGAGCTACGATAGTACAACCGTGAAAACATTGGGTGCCACGGTGGCGAGATGTTAACTACCTCGCCTTGTATACAGGAGGTTGTGAGTTCAATCCCAACCCTCACGCCTGTATATTTGGAGCTTGCATGTTCTCCCCGCGGTCACATGGATTTTTCTCCGGGTCTTCCGGTTTTTCCATGGATATTAAGAACCATGCCTTTCGAGTATTTGGCTGCTATAAATTCCCACACAATAAGCCATTTCGTTGAGCTATCATGTGTGATAGCCATGCTGCTTCTGAAAAAGAGATACATAGCTCAGTGGGCCTTGCCTGGTAAAATAAAAGTTTAGTTTTATTCTGCCATATGCAGTGCCAATGCGCAAGTCAGTATGTGCTGCCCTAATCATCTTGGCTGCCTCGGATGAGAGTGAGATGTGAAGAGCGGGATGTTCACCTTGTTATCCTCGCGGCCATTTAGAACGAGCATCACCGCTTCCGCACCCTCCAGTGGCACCTGCTCAGGCACCAACATGGGGCCTGTACGGAACCTGGGCACAGTGACAAACACATTCCTCCATAATCAAATGTGGGAATCCAGTAAAACGCGGGAAAGTTGGCCCAACGCTTCAACCGCATGCCAACGTTGGACCAACGTTGCACGTTTACTGGCGATACAGTGGTCATGCAAATCCGACTGCTATGTAATCATTGGGGACTGTGGCCATACTTCACCGTGCTGGTTAGTGCGCGTTGGTGAAAGGGGTACACCCCAGACTAGTTCAGATACCGCTTGCCACCGATTATAGCTGTGGCCAGAAATCAAATTCAAGATCGTCAGGTTCGTAATGCAGTGCAATAACCACTGTCCCACCCTTCACGTGACGGGTTGTGTGTAAATAAACACCCAAATTGTTTACAGGCAAAACAAGAGCCCAGTTAGGTGCATTATATCTGCAAAGGTGTATGCTCACCCACAACTAATACATTTGAAATATCTCATTTAAAGGCACAACCCAAGAAACAGCTACTATGTTGTAAATATGTACCTATGTTGATTGTCCCAGCCTGTCGAACAACCTTCATTATAGATTGTTGAACCTTCATTATCGACAATAAAGAGCCTTTAAAATCAGTCAGAGGTACTCTGGTGACATCACGATGAGCATCATATTCTAAATAAGATGAATACATAGTGGCATCGCTGCAATGTCACAAGAGCGCTCCTGCTCGTGAATAACAATTTTTCTCATTAACGAAGTTCCCGACTCGCGGCAGGCAGCCCGGAATAGTCCTAGGTGTGCATCTACAAAATAATAAACACGTGATTGTCGTTTCCTTTACAAGGTTCCACAGGGTACCTTCTTTTATAACAATGTAAACAAAACCCCACACACTCGTGTGTCATCTCCTCTTGCGAGAAAACCCAACGGATAATCATTAAAGCACTCTCATATTAAAGACTTCATAAGTGGACATTGATGCACACAATTAAAAAAAATATTAAGCATAAGAATAGGTTTTACCCTTTCTGGCAATAAAACAGCAGGTGTTAAGATGTTCAAACACCAAATATAAACCTTATGCAAGGAATCAAGTTACTGCATTAACCACACACAGTACTTGTGGTGAACATGCAAACATGCTGATAATATATGATGCATTGTCTTTGAAACCGATTTGCCTACACCAGAGACAGCCTTCTTTGTGGCCTAGTCTCACCGGTGTAAGACCAGAGAACGCCAACAGGCGAACAGCACAAAGACAATGCTACATGTATGAGAACATTTATAGCTCCGGTTGAGCAGCTATATTATCAAAAGGTATCCATTTGGTGTTTGAATATCGAAACACCAGCTTTATTGCCAGAAAGGGAAGAACCTATTCTTATCCTTCATACTTTGATACTGGCAAAAAAAAGAGTCCCATGATAAGAACAACAATCTCAACAATTACTTTGAATGCAAAACACGTTTCCCATTACCAAACCAGTGATGAGTAATTCCATCCTCATTTCCCTTCTGGATATCCTTTCATCTGTGCTTCAGCCTGTGAGGATATGGTCATGACCTAAATGACTCGGGAATGTCTAAAGCAATGTTGGGAACATTTAAAAACAATCTCAGCTATAGGGATGAGGTTGGAAATGTTTTAAACTCGCAAGAATTTAAATTAAATATATGTGAACGCCTTATTTCAAAGTTTGTAAAAAATGATCCATAAAATTTTATAATCATCGAATAAAAATAACAAACTATATATTAACCCAAAATGGAAGTAAAAGCTATTAGATATAAAATCATGTCATGCATATTGCATTAACACTAAATTTCAAAGCAAGCCCTATCATTGAAATAACATCTAAAAGACAGGAAGGATTACTGTAGCATTATAGAATGCTTTAAGACACTTTATATGCTAGCAGGGATGGACATGATTAAAATAGGTTTGTTTTGTTTTGTTTTCTTTGTTTAACCACAACGCTTAGATTTATTTAACAATATTAAACTGCTCCACCAAAGCAAACTGTAGAGGAAATGGTCATACAAATTTTTTTTTCAAAATACTGGAACATTCCAGAGTATCAAAAATAAAATAAATCACGTTTCGATAAGGGGGGAGGGGCAAGGGGAGGGATTTATTTTCTATCTACGTGACTTCACCGAAAGTACCAAAGAGTATGGATTCCTGCAGTCACGAAAGCTTCAAATCTAGATATCAAAAATAACATTTACCCAATTTTAGATGAAATGATTAAGACATATAAAAGCATCCGATTGTCACATCATAATAAATGCATTTTTCGCCAAATCGTTAAATATCATCACTCTTTCACTCATGCAGATAATGCATATGCTTTTGACAAAACAAAAAAATAATCTACAAATGAAAATTATAAATTAAATGTCAACATACTGGTTGGATAAAGGCCTCCCCATCTGGTCATCATATTCAGACATATGCTCTCCTTTGGATGCCACTGTCACCACTGTCTACCAGCCATCATGTTGCAATGCGCCCATGTGCACTCGCCATTCACATTTTGTCAAAACGATGTCTCTGCTTTGCATTTGTGCTCACCTGTAGTTCTTTCGGCGCTACTTAAGTGTTGCAGCCGGTTTCACCTTCTCTTCGTCAGTATGCACGTTTCCAATACATTATATTCGTGTAAATTCTTGAGAATTTGCTTTCCGAACATGTTTTTAAACGTTACATATAGCAAAGCGGAGCATCTTCTTCCTGACATATGAACTTTATGGTGCTACCCCGGGGTACCATAGTACCCCGGGCTCTCGCATAATGTCCATGATGCAGTCATTCTTAGTCTGATGATGGTCGGCGATGCGGCAATCAACTCATCGACGAGCTGTACACGATGCACCGCTACGGTGCATACGAACGTTCCGGGTTTCAGCGCAATCGCCCTCACTGCATTTCGACATCGAAGTGGCACTGATTTCGGATTGATTTGTACCCCAGTCGTGGCGTTCAGTACACCCCTGGAAAAAAATAGTGTCCCAGAAATAAAATATTTAACTGCCTCGGCCATCTTGTATTATTTGGTAGCCCGGGGTACCGCCAGAAGGATCACATTTCCCACTCATGTGTGGACTGACTTCCTTCTTGGCCCCTCTTTCTCCACACAGCTCTGTCCTGGTCCATCATCTCCACGTCCACTCCGGCCCTTCAAATCCCAGTTCACCACTTCAAAGCAGTTCTTTCTATAACGGACTCTCCATCTCTGCCCTGGTGTATCCATTCCATGTATAGATCACTTTTTTGTCCGATGCGAGTTTCCTCTCTCGACAGTGTAGCAATTGCGTGTGCAATTATAACTTTACATTTGTACACGTGCATACGTTGAGATGTCACATTGACCTGCACAACGCAATTTTATTTTTTTACATATATTCATGACGCGTGTGTTTGGCGAGTGCCAATACCCATGATTATTTATCAGGTCGAAGAAAGGCACTTTACCAAAACACAGGAACTAGTTAAATGACGATGAAAATGTTTATGCCAAGTCAGCGACAGAAACACGCACAAAAAATGTTAAGTGACAATAAATCATTCATACACACACAGCAAACTTAAAATCTGAAAGTTTTCCTTTGGGCCAAGTTGTTGCAGCTATCACGGCAAAAAAAAAAAATTGAATGTTTGTACAAAGTAATTTTTGCCTGTGTTGTGTCTGCACGTGTTTGGAAGTGCTTTGATCAATTTGTCCAGGTTTCAATGAGCAATTCTCGAAGAGCGACACAACTTTATACGACGGTCTTGTTCATACTGGATCATCTTTATGAATATTACAGCGCCTTCTCCGTGTTATGAACAGATCCACAAACAGTGGCAATACACAGCGGCTTTCACAACCTTAGTTTAGTTTCTGATTGGCAAAATAATTAAACTAGTTCAGTTATAAGCTTAACGCAAACAAAAACCATCCAACAGTAACTGTCCTACAATAAAAAGCATAAAATAGATATTTTAGGCAATGGTCCTTCTTTATATCAACGCAGCGAGGCCAGAGAAGTAGAACTAAGATATCCACATTACACTAAAAGCTTAATTTTGTTTATCAGCCTCAAGTTGTGCAAGATGTGTTTCTTGGAAAAGGGCGATGTCCGTTTATTTTTGAAAAGGTTAAGAGCCCCACGTCTTTTAATGGGGTGTCTAAGACCATTTACATTTAACGAGACAATGGTCAATTTAATGGCCACTGGGTCATCTATTGTCGCTGCAGGGGGCTGGCCGGGTGAAGGGATCTGGATTCGCACGCCCAAACGCCATTTGACTGAGCGGTAGAGCTTTTTTTTTGTAACTAAAAGTATTTTAATAGGGTACAGCCATTTTGATATTTGTATTGTTGTGGACCTTGCGATTTTATTTTACAATGTGATCGCGGACAACGTTACACGCAAAAACCCGGATCTCAGCCCAGATTTTATTTCTACTGGGGTTGCTGCTGGTCAGCCCCGAGAGACAGTCTGACATGAATGTATGGCTTGTATTCGTGTTGTACATTACATGCTATTCAATTAGGCTGTTCAGGTTTCATTTACTCAGACCTATATACATGATAATATAAATAGGAAACATCGTTAATACACAGTAGTAGGCCTCCCTCCCCCATGTGTGCAAGTGATTTGGGTTATTTAACCATACTTAACCGTGTTGGCCAGTGCGGGTTGAGGGTAGGGAGCATAGACGTGGCAGCGTAGAAGCACAGTATGACAATAGATTTGTCTGCACTATCCTCTGCTGCTCACAACGTAGCCTGCAAATATCTTGACGTGCGTGTGCTGGCCCATCCAAGAACTATCCAAGCTCAACCCGAGCTTCTGAGATTTGACAACCACTTTTGTAACAATTTTTTTTTTAAATGCAATGCTCCAGTAGAACCAGATAGTTCCATTTATCTCATCTATTTTACAGAACAAATACGAATGAAGTACACAATGACGCCGGGAGATGTACTGAGGCCTGGTGCTAAAATCAGAACGCTTTAACCCGCGCTATGGGGTTTGTTTCCTTTTCCTCTAGCACCCTCACGTGGTGCTGTTTCATAGTGCATAATACGGTCAGACATCCTCCAACGGTTTAACAAATTCATTGTTTTCGACCCATATTTTTGATGTACATTAACAAATAAACAGAACACATACGTACATTCAAGTGTGTTTTATACAAGACGAATTTAAAATACTTTCAGATGATTTCATTTGAGGACTGATGCGACTCCATTACCTTTGGATTCACATTGTGCCGCAGCTTTACACATGGACCAGTCAAAAGAAGAAGTACACAACACACATTAGCAAAGTTGCAAAGGATTAGAGTAGTTAAGAATATTGTAAGCAATGATGCATGACATTCCTCGGTGGTTAGAGTTTTTGCCAACCTCTCGGGATGGACAAAGGCCTTGTCACACTATGTTGGTCAAGTTGAGTTGTTAGATCATCCTTCTCCAACCTGGTCATTAGAAGTTGGCGAAGTGGGGCCAAGGACTGGGTGGAGTTATAAACTATAAAAAAATATTTTTTATTTTACCACGTAAGGCCCACTGAGCTGTATAGCGACCTGGCCACAAATGATCGCTCAACGAAGTGGCTAATCACGTGGAAATGTATAACATTCTAATAATACCCGAAACACACATTTCTAAATGCGGAGGGAAAACCTGGGAGAATCACGGGGAGAACATGCAAACTCCAATTATACCGGCGTCAGGGTGGGGATCAAACCCACGACCTCCTGCATACCAGGGGAGGAAGTTTACATCTCGCCACTGTGGCGCACCATCACACGTCACTGGTGTTAGCCGTGCAATAGTGCTAACCACTACCCACCCCTTTAGCCCATACCTGAAATACATGTCCTTAATGGTCATGGCTCCCTCTTGCCACTGCCCAGAAGAATCCATGGTCACCAGCTCTCCTCCAAACACATGCTCCCACAAGTACATCCCTAAAAAGAACACACACAGACCATCAGTACAACACGGTACAAATCCATACTTATGCACACCATGGCACCTGAGAATAAACACATTTAATTGTTATGGTTGCAGAGAAATGTTTTCATTTTTAAAAGTTATTTCACTACCATATCAATCCAATGCTGGATGAAGGCCTTCCCGCGACACATAGGTCGTGGGGGTCGATTGACCATACTTCACCAGGCTGGTCAATGGTCCAGAACTGATTCAGATATCTTTCAACACCGATGTTAACCGCCACTGGGAATTGCACTAACCACGACACAACCAATCCCCCCTTTCTTTAAAATACACAATTCTACATTTATAACAAAAACATAAACCACGTCCACACACAAAAACCCCACGTAATAAAACACAAAACAAGTAAATAGGCCTCTCAGCGGGCAATGCTAATTGGCATTGCACCTCATTAGCCGTGCGACTCCCACGTCATCTTTATTCCCTTTTCATTTGTGGTGGCCAAGGGCATTTTTGCCCCAGCACACACACCGTAGGTCAAAGCGGATTAGTTTACCCCACTCCATCCGCCAGCAAATCCTTACCGAAAACCTAGAAACCTAATCCGCACTTTGAACCGAAGCCTTTACCAACCGCGGCCCATTGACTGTAGATGTTCAAAAAAAGGCACACGTCTAAACTTACGCCGCAGCAGAATACCACCACAGTGCTCGAATGAGTCCAAAAATGTGTTCACATTAAAATTATTGTATCGCGTTCTACCAAATTAGTTGAGACAAACACTTTTTTAAGCTTGTTTACATTTAAGCAAGGGTAAAAAAAATGTTCTGCGCATGTAACCAAAGCACCGGGAATGTACCCGGTCTCATCAGATGTTAGTGGTATGGAGGGTGCTTGGAGGGGTGACCGCCATGCATAACAGTTGTTATAGGCTGCAAGGGCTATGTAGTGGACAAGAGGCAGTGCAGAAAAATCCATCGTCATGTTTTTAGCATCTCTGCTCCCCACCTTAACTCGCAAGGTGTGGTATGGTCATGTAACCCCTACAAGCCGCAAAGTGTAAGGAGGCACTCATTCCGCAGTGGATTTACAAGAGGATACATTTTCTGCAATCTGTCAATCAATAGTAAGGCACAGGTATATATGTTACGAGACCTGTAATGAAATCAACAAGCAGAAAATCCCAAAGTGTTTATTATCTTAAGGACCTTCAGATGCGATAGGTCTTATGGTGCCAGGAATGGGTTTTAACTACAAGGCCAGCAAGTATTCCCATTGATTTAAAAAGTCAACTTTGCAACAACAAAAGATTAGGGCCAAACCAATCACTTGCTAAATCATCCTGAAAACATCCTGCTCAACAGGCATCCCTTTGTGAGTGAACCATTGCAACTGAACAGAGCTCCCCCTACACACATACAAAAACATAATCTGTATTATATCCCAGATTAGCAATTGCGTTTTATTAGGTCAGATTTTAAAATCTATTGGATTAATGAAGTGGAAACAAACAGCTACTCAGCCAAGGCTAATTCTGTGGTTAAAGTTATTTGCAAATGATTGACATGTTTTCACTATATAAAAGTAACATTGCAAAATTAAGGCCATGAATTAAAAATTGATGAGCTCTGAACTTGACGGGAACTCAGAGGTTATTGTTGGGGAGGGCACTTCCACCGTTAATCCTCACATTATAATGAAACACAATTAATGCAGCTTGAATAAAGCTAAATCAGGCTGGACCCTCCTATGGAACTCAGCAAAAGCTCTGAAAGGTCATTATGAAAAATAGAAAAATACTACAACATCCCTATAGCCTTTTCTTTCCCTATTTCGACTAAACATTATTCTTTAGGAGGCAGAATAGATAAAGCGGTCATGGCAATGGTATAACATTGTTATTTTAAATCAGTATTATTTTAACTTAATACATTGTTTTTAAATGTGCAGGTGCATTAATTAGGGAACCATTAACCCCCACTGGTATGGCAGCAAGAGCAGTTTATGCGAAAGCTGTCGCAAGAGGTCACACGTTCGGCGGAATGGTCCTTCGCTGACTATGCGTGATGAATGAATGAATAACCCCACACTAAATGAGCCATGACGCTCTGTGGACCTAGATGCCTGGTCACTTGCTTCATTAACCGGAATCATTCCCTTACCCTGTGGCCAGGGGGAGATGGGTCGAGATATGCTAAAGTGAAAGGTGTTCATGTTGTCACTGCTTAGGTCAGACTTATTGAAACTCAAAACTATTATCTTTGTCAACCTTTCTTCGAAAACAAGGCGCATGCATCTCTTTTGACGCCATAAAGTAACTCCACAACGGGTTAAGGGATGAGTATGTCGGCTGGGTTGAGAAGACCGGGGATTTCGAATCGGTTCGGCTATGTCAGGCTGCTATGGGAAACCAGGCTGTCTGCTGCATTGCCAGCTATGTGCCAGCACCCAGTGCTGGCACATAGCCAGCAAAGTTCCAACTGGCTGTGGAAATGAGACAACAGACAAGCCAATGGGCCAACTCTTCACGGATGCCTGCCCATGTTTTGTTCTTAAATAAGACATAAGGCAATGGTGGCAAGATGTTCACTCAATCTTGATTTTATTTCTAACTATGTAACTTCATTGTCTTGGTTCTTTCGGTAAAGTCACGTAGAAGGGAAATAATAAAATAATAAAAAATAAAATACTAAAATTAAATTCTCACAACGTTTCGGCCACAACACAAGCAGTCGTCCTCAGGTGAAGAAACAGAGCTTAGAGTCGCGGCATCTCTTCAGAAAGGTGAGAGACTTCGCTTTAAATCGAAATTTAACCGCCTCTACGGGGAGGGATTACACATAACCTTGAGATCCTTCAACAAACTCCGGGATAAGAAGGCTCAGCTAATCGAGTCTCTCACCTTTCTGAAGAGATGCCGCGACTCTAAGCTCTGCTTCTTCACCTGAGGACGGCTGCTTGTGTTGTGGCCGAAACGTCGTGAGAATTTTATTTTATTGTTTTATTTTTATTATTTCCCTTCTACGTGACTTTACCGAAAGAACCAAGAAGATGAATCCCTGCAGTCATGAAAGTTTTAAATCGAAATTTACGTGACTTTACCGAAATAACCAAAGAGTAAAGATGTTAACTCGTTCGTCTGGTATGCAGGAGGTCGTGGGATTGATCCCAACCCTGATGCGTGTATATTTGGAGTTGGCATGTTCTCCCTGTGGTCACGTACATTATTCTCAGGGTCCTTCAGTTTGTTCCTCCACATTTAGAAACAGGCCTCGAGTATTTGGCTGCTATAAAAGTCCACGTGACAGGCCACTTTGTTTAGCTATCATTTTGTGGCCAGGTCACTTCTGAAAAAGAGCTAGTAGTGGGCCTTACCTGATAAAAAGAAATACAAATAATATAGTATAAAAATACAAATCTTGGCAACTACAATTCTTATTAGGAGGTATCAGACTACTTGCAGAAACATTAATATTACTACGTCCATTTTTTGGGTGGAAGAGGTGGCACAGTGGTCAACACGATGCGCAATGAACCCGGCAATGTGAGTTTGATTCCTGACCACGACTAACATCAGTGATGAGTTGTCTTAACCAGTCCTAAGTGTCCCCCCCTTCACCAAGCCACACGGCACAGCATGGTTAGGCAGGGTCAAACTACCCCTGTTAGCGACACATAGTGGACAGCAGCCTTCTTCCAGAGTGGAATGACAAAGGGCTGTAAATATATTTATTGCAACTGCTGCAACTGATTTATTATTAATGTTACGTAGTTTGTTGTCCTTCCCCTGCACCTCCGATTAGCACGATTGGCTACGTAGGGTATGAAAGAAGTTCAACATCCATACATACGATATATGGAACAGTTAATTTAATTATATTGTACTTGTACTTAATTTGGACACCATAAAGCCATTATTTCCACAAGCTAATGCAGTTAGTACAGACTTCCGATTGGCTTTGGATTATTAAAGCTCACTCTTAGCGGAGACATCTGCTATTTGAGCTAAAACGTTACACACTAATAAGTGACACGAGAACGTGTATAATTTTTACTGTGAACGCACATGAGCCGGCAGCCCTTTAGTAACTTTGCACAAGAAACCCACTACAATTTCTTTACAAGGCATATTCCAAATTGTCAGAGCAGAAAACTGTCATAGTTTAGGGGATGGAACCAAAATGAGTACTACTTGGTGGCAAACAGTTCAGTAAAAGGCAAAGGTGAATGCAGCCCTACAATTGCTTGCTCATACCACTGCTGTTCAAAGGCTTTCCACTCGAGCAGTCGTTCTTAACCTGGAGTGCACGTACCCCCTGGGGGTGCGAGAATTCCTGAGAAGCCAAGGGGTGCAAGGCTGCAGTCAAGGTAAAGAACCACTGCACTCGAGGGTATTTGGCACACCCTTGCTGTCGCGACATAAAAAGGTGGAAGTACCATCCACCTTACACTACCACACGCGACCTGCGGGTGGTAAAATGCTGCCCCCAATGGTAGGGATCGGAGGTCACTTCAAGGGATGTCAGGAGTCGTTTTGTGATATCTGCTTCTGGGAGCAATTCTCTAACACAGATGGTTCCATTGCTCTGCGAGAGACCAAAATAGGTTGTTTGGCTCTTGACATGACAACCGATTGCACATTGGAGATACAATTGCGGAATATTCCTAAAATGATGGAATACATACAGATATTCTAATTTGTGAATGCATATTTTCTACTATTTGGTAACCTTGAGATGTGGCCATATGTAAACGTCATATACATTAATACGTGATTGTATTCTAAAAATATATATTTTGTGCCTGGACTGTTTGAACAAATGTTAACCTTTATTAATCCAAACGATACCAATGTTGGTAGAGAGACTGACACCAGCATGTGCACATAATTGTAATTGGGAAAGTACATAGATATGGTATCTTAACAGCTACTACATGCCAATATTAACTGTTCGTGCTAAAAACCTGCAGTTTACATGGTCATTCCCACCAACACGCTTCAAAATAACCTCAACTACGCATCAAGACATAGACCTATTCATACCTATGACCTTATCCATAGCTTAAGCATTTCCTTGACTAGATCCCCATTTGGTCAGTGACTCGTTGGTCCCAGCCATACATGCAAAAGGCAGGGAATTGGGTATTGGGCCTTCCCAGTGTTTGAAGAGTACAATTGAATTATGTGCAAGAAAGTTGGCTTGTTTAAGTTCACCTTAAGAGCTTTCAATAAGCATAACCACATACCAATGGCAGCTTTTCCCCAGATGTGCACCCTGCGCAGGCCTGGGGGCAGGATGATGGTGGCTTGCGGTGCCCCTGGTGCAGCCCCAGGAACCTTTACAATCCACGTGGAGTCATCCTCTGGGCCAGGGCGAGGCCTCGGCTTGTACGGAGGTTCTTTCTCAAACTCCTGGCCCCATGGATTCCACTCCGTCCCATCATCTTCCTCCTCCACCTCGTCCACTCCTTTGCCAGCCACTGCATCCACTTGTCCAGCTCTGCCCGCTATATGCCGGTCTGTTGTACAGCACGCCAAATGAAAAGAAAGCAAGATATCAGATTGCTGCAACTGGCATTTTCACATTAATACGAGTTAATGAAAGACAGCCCTTGCACCGTTTCATCTGCTGCCAATCAATGATAAAGAAAAACAAATCCACTGATGGGTGAAGGCCTCCCCACCCGGTGTTGGTCATGGATGTTGATTGACGATACTTCCCCATGCTGGTCAATACAGGTTGGCCTAGGGGCAGGCCCAGGACTGGTTAAGATATCACTCGCCAAAGTTAGCTATGGCCAGGAATCGAAACCAGGTCACCGGGTTCATACTAGAATGTGCTAAACGCTGCGCCACTGTTCCACCGGCTCACCAAGAGACTTATTCTACAACATGAGTTGTACATGAAAATTGTGTTTTAGCAAAATTAGGCTGTTGAGCTTTTATCACTTTCAAAAAACCCTGTAAATTCAGCTCGTAAAAATATTGCACACTCCGGCGCATGCGCTACAGTTTGTCATTAAAAATGCCAAGGTTTTTTCCACCACGTTCCAAGAATGACCAATTTATTAGTTACCTGGCAAATTCCAGCAGGTGAAAACTAATTTTAAAACAGACTCGCAGTGCATGCTTAAGTATGGGTTGATAGACAGCAGTATGATTTGTGCCCATCATGAAGGGAACATTTCAGCATTGCAACAACTCAAAGTGAACACCAGGGTCAAAGAGACATGGGCCGCCTGTTATAAAAAAAGAGATATCTTGCATCCATCTTCAGGGGCAATCCATGCCAACATTCCTGTGGGAAACAGGCAGGTATTGTGCAATTTTCGATGATGGATCTAAGCTCAGTCTTGATGGTATCGGATTTATGTCCAAATTCTACACTTGTGGAATTCAGCAACACAGAACGTTTGACATGTTTATACAGCAGATGCCTGCATATCTACCATTGCACTGAAAAAGCAGACGAGGTCATCGGTCTGTTACTTGAGAAAAGCATGTTTAATGTACAAGAGTTTTTTTGGGGTTAGATCGCGTAAATGTCGTTAAAACCCGCCACCACCCGAAACAGCCAACAAGTAAGGGTTGTCACGTAAACAGAACGTGGCCAATTCGTCACTAGTACAGCACACCGGTGTGTTGGAGAGCCAAGCCATAAAATGTACAATCTGAGTACGACGTTTCGCCAGTAATTACAACTAGCTTCATCAGGCAACAGCCAGATTTGTGGAGAAGTCTAATGGTTTCGTTCCTTAGAGGCGTACATGTGGATATCTAAATTCTGTGCTCTTGCGCAAAGTGGGGGGAGGGGGATCTATGAGTCAATGTAAATTATGCATGTGAATTATGCGAGCCCTTTGATCTTGACATGTTCTGTTTACGTGACAACCCATTCTAGTTGGCTGTGTCGGGTGGTGGTGGGTTTTTACGACACATTTATATATTTACACGATGTAACCCAAAACAAACCTCTATTATGGATATTGGTCGCAAAAGCCTACGTGTTAAAATGTTTCATGTATATTGTACAATGCTGGAAACACCTTTCTCAAGTTAAAGTATCCTGTAAGTATTGACTCACTTTCCCAATACTGTGACATATTTCCAGCCATTCTATTGAAGGTAATGAGGGTATTCACAAGAGTCACACCATTTGTAAACTTGTGACCCTGAAATATCTTCAATCCCATTTCAAATTGGAGACAAAGCATGAATTATCCTAATTTTTTATGGGAAATATAAAAGATAACTGCAATGTACTGTGAATTAATCACAAGAAATATGTTTGGGCAGTGCATAACTTTTAAAAGCCGGCAGGTGGTTCACACATTAGAAGATAGGTCTCCAGGTCGTAGCACACAGTTGGAGCCTAGGGGAGAAAGATTTTATTTCATCCTCAATCAGGAGCCAAAAAATACCCATGGGATAATTTTGTGGTGAAGGCTGAAATGTGGGGAAACCTGCTTTCTTATCCCTGTTCATCAAAGGACTTGCGGCTTTCCACACAGAAGCCCATTCACACGCGTGAATCAGTGTAGCACAGGTCAACCTTTATGAATGTTTAAAAAAGCAGCAGAGATGAGAGGCAAGAAGATTCGTAAGATCACACCACCTTTTAGTAAACTTTATCCATGACACAACACAAATGTTGCGAACCGAGAAAGCATAAGACTGATGCTTCAACATACATCCACCAGCCACCTCAAAAATAGCAGATGCCTTACTGGTAAAATGTAAACAATCTCAAAAACACATTACTTACAGCTGTCACCACACAGCAAATGTCCTTAAAATGTGAAGAGGGAGTAGGCGTGTTACAAAGCAGACACTGTACGAACTTTTGCTTAGACAAACACCAGCCCATCTGTTGTGCATGCATTCATTCCAGCCCACACGTGTTCATCAGCCAAATTATCTAAACCTTCATTACAAAGCAATGTCGATAAAAGTCAGCCTTTATATTGTAAACAAGTTTTTCAAGGTTAAAAACGCATATGTGCCGTGCAAACTATGTCCAAGTTCTTTGGACACGTTCACCGTGCGTGGGTAAACTTGGCCCTTGTTACTACTCATCACGAAAATATATACACCATGTTGAAAACGCACACTCAAAATGGGTGAGATACTCTAGTATGGGCTTCTGGAAATTTACCTGCAAACGCAAAACGAGTGTGTGAATGCTGATAAAACTTCACATGCTCCTCATCTATAAAACAAAACAGCCGAACGAAATGTCCTTTGTAAGTAAGTAAAATCACGTGTGTTTTAGCCGGTGTAGGACGTGGCACTCCATTGCCAGCCCACAGCGATGTGTACACACAGACCCCTGTCTCTTGCTCACAACCATCTTCTTCTGTGCAGTAAACCTTCTGGACTGCAGGAAATAAAGGACATTTGAAAAGCAACCTTTTAAAATGCTGCACAAACACATGGGGACTGTTCATGAGAAAAGGCATAAACTTGAGATTTGCCTATATTATACCAATTGCTGAAAAGGTCTCGATACAGTTACTACAACTTAATTAGCGAAGCAAACGGTACAATATATCTGGAGTGATTAAAATATGTTATTGCTGAGTTACAAAACATAGGCGTCATGAGTAAAGTTTTGATTTATATTGTTTCTTATCCGATATGTACATGCAAATGTATTGTAACACATCAAAACATATCAATGCATTACATGTCAGATTACTGTAAAGTTTAAGAAGTGTTTGCAGCCTGCCAACATCTCTGCAGGCACAAATGGTGCATAACTTTTGTACAGTTCCCATGATTATGAACACGATTCCAACGTAGAATGTCATATCAGCACCAACATTATACAATGCAGACCTTGAACTCATGGTTGCAGCAATGAGCCTTTGCAATCCGTGTGCATAATCTAAAGCTGAATTAGTTTCGCTTACATATTAGCTAACAGACATTCTCTGTTTGGCCGTGTTGATAGTCTTAATTAATTCGTGTGTACCAAACATTTACATTGAATGCCTGACTCGCAATGTTATATATTGATCGTGTATGTGTGTGTATATACTGTGTAGGGCTGTATTGGTACAAAACGTGGTTTTGACAGCCGCTTTTAAATCTTAGATTGGAAAATCATTTCTTCAGAACTGCTTATGTTTACTGTCCGATAAGCACGGTTGGCTACGTAAGGCGCGAAAGAAGTTCAACACGCATTCAACATACTGTAAACGTTTCGTAGACTTGTTGAGCTTTTGCTCCGGCGTTGTGTGTGCGGGGGCTGCAGGGGAAGAGGCATTATTTGGTGTTGTTGTGCGGTCGTGTTGTGTTCCACAAGGATGCCGCCACCACCACCACCGACAGCTGCTGTTATTTGCTGGCTCATTTTGTGCTTGTTGGCTATTAAAATTCAACGGCGGTGGAGACCGCTACGCGTTGTTGTAAACTGCACGCCGTCATACGCGGACACAGTTGCATAGTTCGCGGTGGGTTTTTTTGTTGTTGTTGTTAAAGCTGTCGTGTACGCGGTAATCTCTGCGTAAGGCTTACACAATGGCAATAAGACGCATTAACACACCGCACTGTACAGTACACATACTGTACACAATTCAACACATTACTGTATTTGGTAATGCTGCTGCTCCGTTTTTTTGCAACGGGACAAATAACACAAAATAAAACCAAAACCCAAGACGTTCAATAACGCCGTGGCTTTTTTTTAAAGAAAAAAAAACATTAACAAGCGACGTTTCGGGCAATGACCCTTGTCAATAAAGCACATCGTACAGGCCACACACAATTAGGCCAGCATGAGCTTTAGCCTGGCTCAATAGGCACGCGTCCAGCACAAAATGCATTGAGTGGCGGCCGTTACACACGTGACAAGCCGTTAAACGCATAACTTTGTCCGCGTTGCAATTAACCGTGCGTTGCTACTTTGAGCCATCTCGTAATGCACACGCGTTTACGTAAAATTAATTAAACTAAACCGCGTCAACTTAACGTAACAACAGTAAAAACACAACACGCCGGGGATACAATTTCGTAGAGAGCATTAGCAGCCGTGGCGCTCTGCGGCACGCTTATTGGCCCAGCGGCTCAACGTGGCCTCCGCGATCGCGAATCCCATTGGCCGAGCCGCGAGACACCCGGCGGCACGCGTGTATCCGGGCTAGTAAATACAAAACGAGCGACACCTCCAAATAGTAACTGATGATTTTATATTTAGTACTAATGATGTACAATACCCCCCAAAAAACACACTCACCTCCAGGGCTCGCATGTGGCCGCAGCGTGGAGGCGGACTGCCTGGCGCCGTAGAACACCACGTAGGCAGCGTAAAGCGAGAAGGCGCAGTAGGCGCCGCCCGCCACGAAACAGCACCGCCGCTTGCTCAGCCGCATCGTCCGCGGCGTCTGAGCTTGCTCGCCCCAACCGCCCGGGCGTCTTATAGGGGCGGCGACGTCACCGCGTTGTTTGCGGCGTGACGTCATCGCGCGGGTTAACGTCATGACGTCGTTACGCGAGGTCCATATTTTTTTGTTTTCTATCACGTTAATCAGAATTTAGAATTTATATTTATCGCGGAGAAATCCGATGAGGTGTGAAGCTCTTTTTCACAGGTGTCCAGCAGGGGGCGGGTCAGAAAGTTACAACAGCAAGCAGTGCAAAAAAAAAAGCCGATATGAGTGCAAAGAATAAGAAAGGGTAAGCGAATCACTAAAAGTAAATTAGCAAAAACTATCTCCAAATTTTTACTTCCTTAACTTTGACATTGACAAAGCCTTAAATACATTCCAGTAATTGGAAGCAGCCATTATTGCAAAAGCATAGGTTGTCGGCCAATGTTTCAAACATATACATATAAACAAAATACAAACAGAATATGTTCTTGAAAATGCATGCGACCTTAACTAGCCTCCATATTCCAAAATATTGTCAGGGCTATTCTACAATGTGGTGGCATTGTGACGGTCTTGAGTGGCGGCTGAACGGTAATTGGCAAACATTATAGGGGCAATTTGACACCGTGGCCAAAGACAAAACATTATAAGAGCATATTCTTTGGGTCTTTCGGTAAAAGTAACGTAGATATAACACATTTTATTTAAACCTATCTACCTGACTTTACCGAAAGACCCAAAGAATATGAATTCCTGCAGTCGCGAAAGCTTTAAGTCAAGATTATAAGAGCAGAAGACAAACATAATGTCAAGGTTGAGTTTTTTTTGTACAGAAAATTGCAAACTGCAAAAAAATGCTTTGATTGATTCGCTCCAGTCGCTATTCTGGCTCCATGTAAATGGAGACATGAGGTGGTCATGTTCGCTTCACGGGCAACAAGTGCAGTTGCTAGTTTTAATGGTTGAGCTTTTTTAGAGTCTACGGATGAAGGAAATGCATCGGCCCGGGGGGGCACGTATGTTTATTTAGTTTATTTTAACACCGGTATTATTTTTTTTTATAGTTTTTAAAGTTAATATTTATTTATTTTATCATTATTGATATCTATTTTTTCCCCTGCCTTTTCAAATGGCACTTAGACATTGAATGAAAATTGACAACATTGACCAAACGTAATTGATGAAGGTTCAAAGATTACACCTGTACACCTGGATTACATTTTTGAAGTCACAAATTAATTTCAAAAGATAATTCATGCGTGCGTTAAAATTAATGGCAATCAGTTCGTACGTGTGTTAAAATAAATGAAATCACCCCATGTGGTTTGTTAAAATAGATATAATCACCCGGTGTCCTCACTTTGGGCCACCCTGTATATATCAGACTGCTCCAGTAGGGGGCTGCAGAGGCACGCTCTTTGCGTCTTTTGTTAAAATCAACTTCGCTGTCAATCCCGTACTCAGAAAATAACAGCTATTTAACGGATGCAAACAAACGTTTGGCTTGTGGACATAAGAGATTGGTGCAAGAAAGATGTGCGCACTACTTGAGCATATTGGCACAAGACAGAGAAAAGTGGAAACAAATTACGAAATGTGTAGTGAACATCTGCGGGCTATCTGCTCGTAGATGGTGATGTTGATGATGAAAGAAATTTGAATTACCTGCGACAACGGAATGCAGAGCAGCTTTCCCGTAGCTCTGGGTTCACATTAGGGGCCGTCCATAAATGACGTCACGCAATTTTGGACGATTTTTACCCCCCCCCCCTCGTCGTCACACGGCGTCACAAAAAGTCAGACCCCTCCTCAAATATGACGTCACAAAGCTCTGCCCCCCCCCAAAAAAATGCTTCAAATCGCTTTAAACTATTATCATTGTAGTGCGTATTTAATGTGGCGCTGCACTCTGGTGTTGTAGGAGAAAACATTTCCTAAAAAGTATATATTTAATTAAGTGGAACGTGTTGTCTATATTTATTTAAAGTTGCGCATTTTGATGTGATGTCACATTTCTCAACCCCACCCCCCCCTCGTCACACATCGTCACAAATGTCTGCCCCCCCCCCTAGGTGCGTGACGTCATTTATGGACGGCCCCTTAGCCGCTCACAAAAAACACGCACATTTTTCGATTTGAAGCTTTCGTGACTGCAAGAATTCATCTTCTTTGGTTCTTTCGGTAAAGTCACGTAGAATGAGAATAAAATAATAAAATAACACAGTAAAATTCTCACGACGTTTCGGCCACAACGCAAGCGGCCGTCTTCAGGTGAAAGGTACAGAACTGTCGGGACGACAGAGCTTCAATGAACGATGTTTAGAGACTCGATTAGTTGAGCTTTCTTGTCCCGGAGTCTGTTGAATGATCTTAAGGTTGTGTGAAATCCCTCCCCGTAGAGACGGTCAACTAATCGAGTCTCTAAACATCGTTCATTGAAGCTCTGTCGTCCCGACAGTTCTGTACCTTTCACCTGAAGACGGCCGCTTGCGTTGTGACCGAAACGTCGTGAGAATTTTATTGTGTTATTTTATTATTTTATTCTCATTCTACGTGACTTTACCGAAAGAACCAAAGAAGATGAACACGCACATTCATCGACCTTCTATCGTTTTCACTGTCACGCGGTAGGATTTTGCAGTCAAGACTTTACTCTCGGCAGAGTGGGTGGGGAATTACTGCTGCCCAGCGTGAAGGAGTGGTCTCTTGATGGGATTTCAGAAGTAGTTCTGTGATATCTGCTTCAGTGGATTATTCTATAATATGGGTTATATACTGCTCTGAATGGATTCCTCATCTTATGACATTGTGGCCATATGATAATCATGATAAAAAGGGGGGGGGGGGGCGGGGCATTTTTTGTATTGGAAAAAAATATTAAAATATGTATATATTTAAATGTATTTATTTACCTCACAGTAGGGCTGGTGCTAGATAGTCCTAGGGTAGGCGTTGCACCACCAAATGTCTCTAACACGAACCGCGTTCACGCTCCTTAGCGGCGAATCACTGTTACGGTGGCCCAAATAACAACAACAACTCTACTGCCCACCCGATCTGAGAGGAAGCTAGAGGAGGATCTGCCTATAGGATATCTTACATAGCATACTGCGTGACTTTAGTACACATTTATAACCAGTCAACTGCTGGATGAAGGCATCCCCAAGCCGATGTTGTGCGATGTAACAATCCGCCGGGCACTTGCCGACATCTTCTCGAATGCGTTGCATTTGTTGGCACATTGTTTATTGGTTACGTCTGCTGAATTTGTAAATTTTAGGTGGAACTCATATATTGTCTTGCTGTTCACTTGATGTAACCTTTTTAGAAATTAAATCTGAATCTCAAAGGGATTCAACGATAAGGGCAATGCCACTGTCATCATGGACAAAACCGTGTACAATAAAACAATTCAGGACCTACTTTATGATGGTAGCTACACAAAAATTCAGAGAGATCCCATCAACAATCTTGTTACAAAAACTAACAATATCATCAATGATTCAGCTTCATTAATTGAACAGACCAAACGGTTTCCCTTTAAACCTTTTGCTGCTAGACCACCCAGATTATATGGCTCACCAAAAAAATAATAAAGAAGGTACATCCCCTAATCCCATCGTCTCCACAATTTGCTCACCCACCTACAAACTGGCCCGATATCTGTCTGAGACCTTACAGCCATTCACTGATAAGACCACCTCTTCTGTACTTAAATCAGCTCACCTGGTATCGTCAATTAAAAACATATCACCGTCCCCAGGTGATTTACTCGTCAGTTTCGATGTAGTTTGTTTACCAAAGTACCTGTGCCTGATACCATTGCAATCATTGAAGACCTGGTCCAACAAGGATTGAATGCTAATGTACTGGCCCTGGTGAGACACTGTCTCACCAACACATACTTCACCTGCAATGGAACATTCTACAAACAAACTGAAGACACCCCAATGGGTTCTCCCTGATCTCCGGTTGTAGCCAATATTTTCATGGAAAAATATGAGACGGACGCCATCCAGGCATCCACTCTATGCCCGTCCCTGTGGAAGAGGTACGTAGATGACACGTTTGTCATCTGGCCACATGGCCGACCGGCTCTAAACCAATTCCTCAACCACATCAATTCCATACACCCAGCCATCAAATTCACCATGGAGGTAGAAAAGGATGGCATGCTACCTTTCTTGGATGTCCTAATAAAAAAGAGACCAGATGGCTCAATGAGACATTGTCTACAGGAAAGTAACCCATACTGACGCCTACCAAAAACCTGATTCCCACCACCATCCATCCCAGAAGAATTCCCTCATCAAAATGCTACACCATAGAGCTCAATGTATCTCCGACCATGAATACCTAACCAGTGAACTCAAACACGTACACCAAGCTCTCAAGGCGAATGGATATTCTGACTAGACAATCTGCATAGCCATCACCCCAACCATGAAGAAGGAGCCATCTGAGGATCCAATCAAAACCATCACTCTGCCATACAAAGCAGGGGTAACCAAAAAGATTGCCAAAATCATGAACAAACACAAGATCCAGGTCCGATTTAACACAGTACATAAAATTTGTGATCTGATCCCATCTGTGAAAGACAAGATTCCTGACATGCAATATCCCGGCGTCTACAAACTAAGCTGTATCTGCGGCAGCAGTTACATTGGGGAAACTAAGTGACATGTCTCGGACCGTGTCCGTGAACACAAGGCAGATTTGAAACACGGCAGGACCAATACTTCTGCCGTGGCTGATCATTATTATAATGTGGCTGGCTCACACGAAATTGATTTCTCTAAGACGATGGTACTTTGAAAGCCTACTGGCTACCAACAAAGATTCGTTCACAAAGCCA